TTCAAATTATCTTGCAAACGGCAGAACACATCAACAAAAGTTTTATCTTAATGAGTGGAAGTAAAATATCTATGATTTCACATGCTGCTGTTGTATGTGATAAAAAATTACCACTGAAGAGTTACTACAGTTAACTTATCAACTACTAACTGAACCAAAATGTTAACTAATATTCACTACATCATAGAAGGTTTGCGTCACTTCTCTCATTAGTTCAGTTTCACACACGCCCATTAGCCAACTGTCTGGTAGGACACGATCCTGTTAAAGGTGAAGGCTAGTCTACCATGCCATGAAAATAAAGAGATTTGGTCTCCGTCTGTCCACTAGCATCCTGGGGATCTCATCCTCATCTCATCATCCACGAAGACCAAATTGTATTTTGTGTTTGATTCACCCAGTGTTTGTAAATTCATACACAACAGGGAAGGAATCATATCTCTAAAGCCTGTGCAGCAAGATAAGAGTGGTGAGTAAATCAAAATATTTTTCACACTTTGAACTGTGGCTTTGCCTTTGAATATCTTTCTGCCTGAAATGCTATTTCACCTGTAATCAATGGTGAGCTAAGTACTATTTTCAATAAATCACTAAAAAAATCTACCTGCCGTTATTTGGCCTTCTTTTCCACCAATATTCTACCAATATTTTTTGGGAATAATCATGCTTAATTACAATCATGACTAACCAGCTACCCTGTGATTAATCTGATTAAAACATTTAAGGCTGTCTTTTATAACTAGTAATTTTAACAACAACTTATTAAAAACCACTACTGTCAGAATGAGAAAATGGTATAAACTGAAGAAAATATGGGAGGAACTCAAAAATCTTTGCCTTCTTTTTTTTAAATCTATGAACACCAACAAAACAGTTTTCCATCACAGTATTCTCCATTGTGGTCGTAAGACTTCTTCAAATGGTCCCTCTACTGAAGGATTCTTCTTCTCTTGTCAAGGATGCGAATGAAATTGTTCTCAAATGCTCTTTCATATTTGAACAATGAAAACAAAAATCCTTTGGAAAGACTCAACGACTTCAACAGATTCAGGTGTGATTACATTTTTCAATTGGTTCATTTTTGAGTGTTAAAAAACCTGATTAAACAAAACAAATTGACAAATTTGTAATGACAAAACGACAAAAATGTTGGAGATACCAGTTTTAGTTTTAGTTATTTTAGTTAGTAAAAATTCTTGACCCAGCCTGTATATTTTTGTCTACAGCTGCGTCCTACCAGGCTATTTTTTTCCTATAACATCCAGGCGTACTACAAATGTGATATTCCTCTGTATAAAACAATGAGGCAAGGACACTGAAGCCCAAGGATTCTGTACAGCTGCCATAATCAGTGCGGAGCCACGCCACGCATGTTTGTTTCATTTGTTGTGGTTGTCGGCCAGTAACCCCTGCCCCAACCTCTATCCCTGACTCTTCCATTTTCAGGTTGCTCTTCTATCAGGTTTGGCACTTCCCTGCTGAGGATCCTCATTAGCAGGAAAGTGGAACATCTGTGCTGGTCAGACAAGACGACTGGGCCTCCTGGTCAGAGCCTCAGTCAAGAGTCAGTGTTAGGAAGAACAAAAACATCCTGCAGGAGCTACTCACAATCAAGAGAGCATGGCTCTAGCTGCTGCCCTTATACTTTCTTTAAGGAGAGCCCCCCTGCCCTCCCACCCACCATTCCTGGCTCTGGCTTCAATCGAGCTTCCAGCTTCTCACACTATACTTTTGTAGACAAACCTCATTTTCATTGTGTGAGTGTGTGTTTTACAAACAGCCCTAATGGCCCCTGCTGTAGTCACCCACACAAACACTTGCCTTTTGGCTGCTGTTGCCAGATCTGGTTTTTGTGACAACAGTATACAGCTCATTGTAGTGTCTTAGTAAACCTACGCTCCCAACAGGAATAACAATAAAACTGTAATGTAAATATGGTATTAATAAATCTATAAGAGTAACAGCTGGTGTGTGGCCTAATTAATACAGAAACACACCTAATTAATTAGTCAAATTAGAGCATTTATCAGGAACTTTCCAGACCCACTTTCCAACTACAACACAATTAAAACTAAAACCGTCCATTTAACCCTGTCACTATTGTGTTTTGCCTAATGTTGTCTTGGCTGTAAGGGGTTAATTATTTTGCTATTTTTCATTAAATCTGTTGCAAAACTAAAATAACTTTGCTCATATTTTCTGAGTTAGCTTTTGGTGAAAACATTGGAAAATTATTATTATTTTTGGTTCTATATCATTAAGATAGGTCTTGGTTCCATGTATTTTACTGCGATAACTTGACAATATGATGCCAATTTTGTATTTTTATTTGTAAGAAATTTGATAATATCCATTAGGTTTTTTGTTTTTTAAATTTGAATCTTATACATTATATCCCCAAAAACAGCTCACCAAAAGGTCCAGATCCTGGACTATGAGAGTGAAGGTTCCATAAATACAGTTCAACCAAACAGCCTACTGTATTTCCAGGTTTGGGAGTAAGAGGCCACGATCTTAATTATCAAAGGTGTGAACCCTCCCACTGATTCAGTACATGGTGGTCTAACCTGGTAACTTTGGGGCTTATAGGCTATGCCTGCACAATTAATTCAAATGGTTTATTGGATTTACTGAACTAGCTTCTGCATAAACCCATTAATCTCACAGGCATGAACTGCAGCTGAACTGCTAATTCTAAACCCTGATCTGGATAAAGGGAGAATCTCCTTCTGGTAGCAGCTCACAGAGATTCTCAATAAAGGTTCTTCTTGGAGAAAAGTGACGTGAAACTGAATTGTCAGAATCAGAAATATACATCTTAATGGAATACATAAACTAATGTGATATAGAGAGAAATGTTGAGCTAAAATGTTGTGCATTTGCAATGGATTTAATTTTAGTTTTAGATTTTAATTTAAGTTCATACTATACATTATTTTCCCGAATGTAATTTTTTTCTGCACATCCTAAAAGCTTTGCTGCTGTACTGGAGTACTTTCTGGATATTTAGTCGTGTTCTGTTCCTTCCTGGCTTCATTGGGGTATTTTTCATCCATTTTCTGTCATCTTTTTACTCCTCTAAGGTCGCGGTTTATTTAGAGTAAAAAACGTTAAAAAAAAAAAAACTAAAATAATAAAATTTCTATCTACGGTTTATTTAAAGGACTTTACATTTAGACCCAGAGCATTCCCTGGCCCTACCCTATTGATAACATTACAAAGGGATAATCCTAATAATTTCCCTAACATTAATTTGATTCCTATTCTAATCCCAACTCAGAAGAATTTAATGTTGAACCTCAAAAGTCCCTCGTACTCAGTGGAGAAATAAAAGTGTTCCCACAATAATATTACTTTTCAAAACAATGTCCCCACAATATGGCTATATCAGGTACACGCAGACACACACACAGATACAGGCTTTCATTCCTGCCCTCAGGCTTGTTTTACCACAGTGCAGCTGGCTTCATTTTCAACTGTGTGCTAGTATAAAGGGCCCACCCCGTCAACGTGTGAGTGCAGACCATATGAGCTCAAATTAACTGCACTTGGAAAATGTGCCCCATCACACTGGGGCTGCACTGCAAGTGTGGATGAGCAGTAACATCTTCATTTTCCCTGTGCTGAGCTGAGACCCAGTTTCTGAATTATTGCAATCAGATATATTCTTCTGAATATGTTCTCCTGGAGAGAAAACACGGGGGGTTTGCTGTGAATTTCTTGACAAATAAAAGCTCATATTTACTGTGACAATTTGTCAGAAACAGATTTGTTATAATTTATTTGATTAGATTTATTTGAAAATTTGCAAAACCTACAACATTTTGTAGAAAAATAACCGTCTCTGAATGGCACTGTAAAATAGCAGTAGTTGGATGAAGCCATTAACTCTGTGACAGCTGTGTGTGCGTTAAGTACTAGCTACGCAGGGAGAGAAATGTATGGTGGGTAATAATGAAGAGAAGTGACTCACAATGCTGTGTGAAGTGAAAACACCCAAATCCTACGCAAAGCTCTGGAACCAGTGTCTAATTTCCTCATCCTCTCCCAGGAAGACTTCTGAAACCAACTCAGTCGCTCTATTTATCTCTGGCGACATCTTTTCATCTCTGCGCTGATGGTAGCATTATATACAGCACAGCCTTTGAGCATTTTGACCCACACACTAATAAGTTTGTTAAAATATTACCCTTGTGTGCAGGGTTAGTTCCTAACAGGTAATCGAAGGAGATGTTATCATGTTTATGTGCTCGGCTCTGTGACACAGTGCAGCTTTAATAAAAAAGGGGAGTGTACGTCAGAGACAAGGAGACATGAAGGGTCATTATGTCTTTCATGGATATTTGTGAGATCTAGTTTAAATTCAAGGCTTTTACATGGAAAATTAAACCATTTAAATATCAATATATACTGTATTTCACCCAGCAGTTACTGCACCTCTACTTCAAGAATAGTTAGTTCTATATTTTCTAAGGGGGAAGTGAAAAAAATTCCAAATGACAAGGTTATTTCTCTTCATATCCTCTGCTCAAGTTCAGACAGTTTTTAAACTAAATTATGTTTCCACCAGTGGATTTCTGAAACTGACCTTAAATTGATTTTTCAGTTTTAGTAAAATAAAAAAAAATAATATCAAACTGAATCAAACCCTGTTGCAAGGTTACATATTTTTTTATATGTTTAAAAACAAGTCCTAATGATTACTTTATACATTATATTTACCTAGGATTTGGCACATTTCAAAAGATTATACTTGTTTTTGGAGTTACAGTGATCCCTCTCCTATCCCAGTAGTTGCGAGATGAGAAAAATCACAAATTAGAGGCGAGATAGTTATCATATTATTTACGTATATATATATATTTAGACAGTTTAAACTGTTATTTTTGTTGTGCTTTTTGTCTTCCCTAAAGAAGCATCTCAAAGTGATGCATTAACACCTGAAAGTAGGTAACAAAGCAGGCATCATTATAAGGCTGCTGAAGTGTGTGTTCACTCACCAGCTGGGCATCGGCAGGAGACAGTTCCATTGGAGCGTGTCAGGCAGGTGGAGTCATGCAGGCACGGATTGTGAAGGGGGTCGCAGGGGTCGTAAGGCTGGTTGCACAGGGGGCCAGTGTAGAAGGGGGGGCAGGTGCAGGAGAACTGGCCAGGTATGTCTGACTCCTGACACCGAGCCCCATTTAAACACGGAGCCGAATCACACTCATTCACATCCTCTGCACACTCCAGACCTGTCCAGCCCGGTGAGCACAAACACCTTGGAAACAACAGAGAGAAGGAAAGACACTGTAGATGTCCCTTTGGCATAAATATGGAATAATTCCTAAATAAATAAATAAACAGAAAAAACATTCTGATTTTCCATTCTCCACCAGGTGCAGGTGTCACATTTCCTGGAGTCAACCACACCAAAACATCAGCTGTGTAGAGATGTACGTGTTAGATAAAAAAGCCAAATAGACAGATCTCCTAATGAATTATGATTTGAGTCTATGATCCCTGTCTAAGACACTGTGAAAAAAATACAGGTCAACTGCACCCCTGGCCTGGAGCAGCTTTTAATTCTGGACAGCTGTATATAGGACAGGAGGACGGGAGGTGAGAGAGCTGAGTGAAGATTAAATGGAAATATATGCAGCACCCTGGACTCAGACACAGAGGTATAGGGATAAAGATGAAGACAAAGAGAGAGAGAGCGAGAGAGAGTGAGAGAGTGAGAGAGAGAGAGAGGGGGAGAGAAAGTGTGTGTGTCTTAAGTAGCTGCTCTTAAAGTAGATGACTATTCCACTTGGTGGCAGTGAGCACCTGAGCACGATCTTCCACTCCACCTCACATTCGTTTCCATCCTCCAACTTTTCCACCTGAAGCAGTTTTATGTCCCCTGGTGGGAAGGGGGCATTAGCTGAAGCAGATACGCCAGCTTTTTCCTCCAATGACTCACAGATCCCCTGGAACCCTTTCATGCTGTGAACCCTTGATTGACTCATTTGTTTTACCTGCCATCTGCAATTCATTATTTTCTGCCACCGGTGGAAGGACATATTGCCGTCTCTGAACGGCTTCTCTTTTTCTGCATTTATTAAACAAATGCCGCTCCGTGGGAGGACAGCGCCCTCCAGCCAGCTCGCGCACCTACTTGTAGCTGTGGAGAAGGTCCATGCAGGTGGCGTTGTTTTTGCAGGGATGCGATAAACATTCATCAATTTCTTGTTGGCAGTACTCCCCCTCCCAACCAGGATGGCACAAACACTCATAACTCTGCAATCCACACACAAAAAAGAAAGAGGGAGAGACCTAAGATCCTAAATCTGCATTTGCCGATTTGATATACACATAAAAATGTATTATTGTACGCTAATGTACTACGCCTTTTGTTCTAAAGGCACACACGCACAGTTTTCACATCTTCATACAGTATTTGCACCAACTACATTTAGCAGAGTAATCACAGCAAAAGTTCTCAGAAAAATACACTCTATCAAACCTCCCACTCATAAAATTCATGTTTGCTGCAATGCATTTAAAGCGAACAGTCATGTTTTTTGCTAATTTTCACATCACTGCTATGCAGATGTATTCCTCCTACCATCCACCCTCAGGACGATATGCAATCCCCATTCCCTTTTTCCACAACTGACATCATGTACGAACCTTTCTCTCAAACCATGTGTGTTCACAAAAGTCTTTTGTGAATTTTTTGCCTTGGACAATTTTGATTTTATTTTTATCTGTTTACCTATCTTGTGCGATCACAAAAATTCATATTAATTTCTGTTTCCTGTAAAAAAAAAAGATGGTAATTTCATAATTAAAATTTTATGAACACATGGAATATATGTGGGTTTTGTTTAAATTTTCACTGCACGCAAGTTAATTTAAATTTCTCTTTGCATACTGGATAATGATAGACAAAGGTTGAAGGCGCTGTTAGGATTTGACATCGCCTGAGTCCTCTCAAAAGACCGGATGTAAATTTTTATTATTTGAGCTCATGCTAATCTGTACTTCATACACTGGAGGGCAGCTGTTAAACTTTGTCTGATATAATTTGTGTACTGTGGGCCCTTTGGTGGAGGAGGGAAGATGCCGTCATCTCATGATAAATTAGATACCTCCAGGAGACTCCGATTCCTTACCCCTGGCAATAGAACATAATCTCATTTTTGCTGCTAAGTCACCTTCAGGGACCACAATTCTCCAAAATAAGCTAAAGCTCCACGGGACATGATGTTCAGAGAGATGAATGGCTGCTCTCTAAACAAACATATGTGAAAGGCTTTCCAGAAACTGTCCTTATTTAAATAATTAATTGAGGCAGTTGCTCCAGAAGAGCAGATGAAACTGAAATTTTGGTAATTACACTTTTATTTCCCGCTGTCTTTCATGACACATTTCTCTATTTCATCATGTTTTTGGAAAAGTTTTATTTTATTTTTTCCAGCCTGAACGGTGTCAAAAACTCTTTTACATTTAGTCTCTAAATGTTATGTTATTAACGTAAATGTTATTTACCCAAAGTTCAGGTGTAAACCATACACCAGTAGCTGTTTGTCTTTGTCAAAAATATTATTATATTAAGTTTAAAAAAAAATTGAAAGACTCTGTGGAAGACTATCTATTACACATCTGCTTCACTGCTGCAATCTGTTAGGATATAAGCAGCTGTTGGAAAAACACACCCTTGGTGCTCATTGCACAGTTTGTGAGCAGAATGCAGCTCCCCAGGTCTTTTTTTTCCTTCAGCTGCAACAGATCAATGTTAGTGCCTGGAAAAATACTTGAATTACACTTGAATAACTACTAGAGCTGCGTATCAGGAAGAAAAAGGCGAAGAAAAATAAAGATATTATTATACTCAAGTGGTTACATGTGTGTGAGCGGACATCATCAGAACAGAAAGGAAATGTGAGGAAATCTTTTTTCCTCTCAGTAATGACTGTGTGGTGTGATGTTTCAAAAGATAACAAAATGGCCACTGGAGAAAAACACATTAAAAAAAGTGTGAAACAAAAAAGTTTTCCAGTGATACTGATACCAGTGTAGGTATCGACCCTATATTGTATAGGTGTCCACATCAGGAGCCAATAACAGGTCAACAGGTGTTTTAACAACAAGGACAAAGACAGAAAAAGACTTGCTGAGTCGTTAATGTCTCTGTGTTGAACAGATAGCTGAGGCGTTTACACCTCACTGACTCATCTGTTTGTTGAAACTTATTAAACCGACATTGTGTTTTTGTTCAAAATGCTCTGTTGGAATAAAAGCTCTGTTCACTTTCTGTTAAGATGGATGTGTTCACTATAAAGAAAGTGAAAGAAAGAGTTCATTTGTAATTAAAATAAAACTGGCTGTAAATTTTTTTCTGCTCTGTGTCCTCACTGGGGTTTGGATTGAGCTCTCTGTCATACACACACGGTGCCTGTCACCATATTACCCACAAAACTGTTCCATCTATAAAACACTGTCTTTCATTTCATTGTATTGTAATTTTGTACTTGGTATCAGCGAGTACAAAAACACAATCACTATATTCATATCAGTCTGTAAAAATGGCATCAGGACAACACTAGATTCAACTGCCAACATTAAACTGATAACATTGATAAAAAGACATTATTACAAAAGGTGGTGAATAAAAAGTGAAGTTTTCATATTATAAGGAGAAAAAACCTAAAACAAACACTTCTCAGTTTCTACTTTGACCGACTTTTTTTTGTTTACAAGGCAGGTTGCCACTGGGCATCGTTCCATCTTTTTTTTTAATATCACACTTTCTAAGTCTGGTAATCAGGCCTAATTATTGTTGGAGTTTACAAGAGCATCTTGACCCACACCAAAAAAAACAAAAAAAAAAAAAACACTGGAGCTGCTCGACAGTTGGCGATTCAAAGATTCCAACTCCTGTGTCCTAAAACTGTTTTACAATAATAAAGGATCTACAGGGCCAGACGTCTGCCTGTTTCATTTAGTTTTTGCACTGAGGAAAACCTGTTGAAATTAAAACATAAGTTTTGAGGATAATGATCAAATACAAGTCGTGAGTGGACAGTCATTTTATACCCAGTCTCCACTGCCAAACCAAGTACTACTACTATCCTCTGCTAAATGCATAAATGTAGATGTAGTTATACTGTGAATAGTGACATTTTTATTACTTTTTACTAACTTGCTAGACTTTAATGGGGCAACATGCAGAATTGAAAGGCCAAATTAAAATATTGATTCATTTTGTTGTCTTGGTAAAAGACATCTTTAAACTCTGTCTCTGTGGTATTTCCCAAATACACCAGAAATCCTGAGCAGCTCTGCTTCTGCTTTAAAATGTTTTTTTTTCCCCTCAAGAAGACCAATAAGGAGCAGCAGATTTTTCTGCCATTCAAACACCTGCTTGTTATTGTCTTGTAGTAGACCCTGGGGTCTCATAAGCATATTTTATTCTTTTTAAAGACATCCCAATATTGCTGTTATTGCACAGTTGTTTATTTTTTACTGCAATGTGGAAGCTTTTAAACATTAACTGCAAGACTCTCGTCAAAGGTAATAGGACGGAGCTAAAAATCTGGCTACTTTTTTATGGGCTCCTACCTGGTGGTTGTTTAAAAGGGTATTACTGTTGGTTTAAATCACCCAGCGCCAGCAAATCAATTCTTCTCCACTTCAAAAAAAAGTATGCACTCACCAGGTGTCGGTCTCTGCAAATGGACCTGTTGCTGCACATATTGTCCACACAGTCGTCGATGTCCTGCTCACACCTCGGTCCGGTGTAACCGGGGTCACAAAGGCAGTGAAAGGCGTCTACGACTGAAACAACAGCAGTAGGACAGTTACAGTTACAGAGCCTTGCATCATGAATGTTTTCACTCACCCTCTCAGCATGGCCCCAGCATCTCACAGGTAAATGTTGATTATTTGCATAATGGATAATCACCCACTGTGATTGGGATTTTAATGGATATTCCTATTACTACACATGACTGTATCACGCAAATCTATTAGTCACAACACGGACTGTTTGTTCTCCTCTACTTTTAACCTCGTCCTGCTCTCCTCTTTCTATGAACAAGCCTCAAAAATCGTGTAATTTGTTACGAGCCTATAAAACAGTGAAAAAATCATTTGGAAAAAAAAAAAGGAGACTTCATTTAGGACCTAACTTTATTTAGAGGCTATTAAATTTGCCGCTTTCTTCCCACAGAAGTTAGATGTCCCACATCTAATGTTGCATTCCTCTCTCTGTTTAACTATTAATGATGTTAAGGAGGGATGCATCATTCTGTTCCACTAAGACAACACTGGTGTACAGGCAGCCAGTGACAGAGGTAATTGCACTTCTTACAGGAGTGAATTTATTACTTCCACAGTCAGGGTCCCAGGATTCTTCATTATCCCAAAGATTTACCACGTAATCTATGCTGTCACTCTGTCTTGGTGCGTGTAGTAGCTATTACTCTCATTAAATGCTTTAGGTCCTGGGTGGCAGCAGCATTACTCATCTCACCACCGTGGCTATGCTGTGCTCTCCCTTGTGGCTGACTGGCTGGCTGCTGCCGTGCACTGGCCAATCGGTCCTGGAGGCCTGCCTCACTAACCTAAGGCAAACTGGCTGCACTCAAGATTAGTCAAGACAGCTGGCTGAGGTCTCCACTGAAGGATAGAAAGCTCGAAGTCAATGATCCAATACCATCAATGTTGAATTTTGGCACGAGCATTTAAACAGAAAAACAAAAAAAGCACTGGCAACATTTAAGGCAGGCCATGGAGCCTGAGTATTTTATTAATGAGGTCAGACTCCCACATATGTTGCATGTTAGTGTAAACTACCTAAAATAAATGTGTACAGTTTCACAATTTAGGGCCTCACGCTGAAGAGTGGTTAGTGTTTCTCTTAAAGCAAGAAGATTAGTGTTCTGTTGGTCCAGTCCCTGGATCTATTTCATGTAGTTACATGTTTGTAGTTGGGTTTTATCCCCGAGCCAAAAACATGGAAATTGGGAATTGGAAATTAGGTCAATAGTTCACTGAAAATTTGCCTATAACACTGGTACCCAATATCTAGACCAGGATCTACCACTAGATCTCAGAAGGATAGCAAGTAGATCCTGAGAAAATAAAATAAAAAATATAAATATAATTCAATAGAGTGTGGTAGTGAACCTCAGCTACATATGCTCAGTTCATAGCCTGATCATTTGAATAGTAGCCCCCAAGCCAAAAATGTGCCCGGTCTATTGGTATGAATGTGAGTGTAAATGGTTGTTTGCCTCTACATGTGTCTTTATCTGTGATGGACAGGTGAACTGTCTAGGTTGTACCTTCCCCTCATCACCATTAATGCTGGGATTAACACCAAGCCTCCTGTGACCCTGAAAAGAATTCAGTGCTAGAATATGAATGAGAATTCAGTTTTATCTCAGGAAATGTAAAAAAAAAACAAAACAAAAAAAAAACAACACAATCACAAACCACTGTACAGATATAAATCTGGTTTGTAAACATATGTAGGTCATTGAAGACTGAACCAGCTGAGATCTGGCTGGAAGTCACATCTATTGTTCTGCTTTGAGCTCTGACTGTATTATCACGTCATTCATTATAGGCATTATCTAAGTCCATCACTTCATTAACTTTTAATTGATTCACATTTACAGTCGTGTTAGAAAACCAATCTGGCTTTGACCAGCAGGTAATGTTCTGGATCTGCTACAACAGACAGGATAAATCCACTCTCATAACAACTTTATTAGATCAAACGGTGTCCTAATTACAAAGTTACTGTCAGGCTGTGAGTGAGCCAAACAAAAGGTGACATACAGATCTACTGTGTGTGTGTGTGTGTGTGTATCCTTTTTTGTATCCTTCCTGTGTGTGTGTTATGGTGTCAGGATAGGTGGTTTCATACCATCATAGCAGAAGCCGTGAAAACAGGGACTGGAGCTGCACTCATCCACATTAATTTCACAGCGGGGGCCGGTGAAGCCCTGCAGACAGTGACAGTGGAAACCCAGAGGGAAATGGTCCTCATCCAACTCTTCCTCACACACTGCACCGTTCTCGCAGGGATTTCTGGCCTCACAGGGGAGGAACTCACAATTATGTCCTGTGCAAGGCAAAGAGAAATGCATTTGGATTTTCTTTTTCTGAAAATATTCATTTTGAACTCCCCGCAGCAGTCAGTGGGAGGAGAAATTATTCTTCACTTCGAAAAGGTACAGGTGCAATTATTCCTTTTCACCGACTGAGTGCTGGAGACGATTAACGCTGAGGTTTTATTAACATTCTAAAATACTACTTCCGCTGTTAAAACTACGTGTCACCATGTCTTAGTGTGATGTGTGTACTTAAGCTTCACAATACTGTAGGTAAGAGGAATCATAATGAGCAAAAAGAAACGTCGCTGCTCGGCAAAGAACGTCAGCAAACAACGGGGGGAATTCAAGCCCTATGTATTCAAAGAAAAATTACCTTTCAAATTTATTGAACTAACGCTAACACTATTTTATAAAAAATGTATATAACTAATAATCATTGTGTTGACTTTAGTCCCCCTAAAATATTTAAATCAAAAAACGATTTGATTCAAACAAAATCTGATAAAGTCAACCTAATCTGCCAGTTAACAGCTGCAAATGCAGTACAGTGTGCACTGTACACTGTCAATAATGCTGACAACTGAAAGTTTTGACAGGTTAAAATCAACTCTTAACAAAGTTTACTTTGCTTCTGCACCCATTTCCTCGTTACCTTTAAATGGACGGCTGCATTGGCAGAGGTAACTACCAGGCAGGTCAATGCAGGAGGCTCCATTCTTGCAGGGAGATGAAACACACTCGTCAATGTCGAGCTCACACTCGGAACCTTCCAGGAAACAATACAGATGAATAAATGATATTTCAGATTGAAAAGTTTGCGGCACGTGTGTATCTGAAGTCTGAAAATAATAAAACTTTCAAACTACAGGAAAAGTCAGTGAGGGAGCCGCGAGTTCAATCAGGACAGAGCTGCCACCGCTGAGGACAAATAGGACTGGAACCAGCAGCTCTTTGGCTGCGACAGCAGCACTGCGGGCACTTTTGATGTTCGCAACGCACCACGAATCATACTCTGCGGGCAATATTAGACCTTATTAGTAAACGGTTCAATCGCTGTTGCTCTGTTTGACTTTTACAGGTGGAGATGCATTATCTTTGTTTTGACCCAAAGACATTATTCATCTTCCCTTCCTAAAACAGCTGGCCTCGCAGCACCCCATGTGGAGAAAAAAATTATTCTGAAAAATTCCAAAATGTGAGAAATATTAAATCACGCCGCACCATCCCTGCGCTAACATGACTGTGCAGCAAAGTGATCATTTTTTTTAACTGCGGGTCAATTTATCTCCACCTCTGGCACACAAATAGAAACCACAGCGCAGGCTCCTGTGAAACCCAGGTGAGTTTGTAGCATGCGCATACACAGCATACTAAATATATACCATTATTTTCCACTGCAGCAGCAGCAACAGCAGCAGCAGCAGCAGCAGCAGCATCTTTAGACATAATTAAACCCAGCTGGGCTGTGTAATAGCCAATACCATCGTCCCTTTTGAAATTCTACTGCATCTTCCAGGACCTGCGGCAAAGACACAGGTAACAGAAGCTCCTCGCCCCTGTTTGAACTCCCAGCTTTATGATTGGATTGTCATCAATCAGATTTAGATGTCAAGACAAGGTCACTATTGTGGACTTGTAACTTGAGCAGCGGCGATGCTTTCTTCCTGCACTCGCTTCCCTTTTCTCTTCCTAGCATCCTGACACAGATAAAGCCTGTATTTGTGCACCTACATTTTCTTGTCTGTTTTATAGAACTATTTAAAAAAACATATAAAAGCTATGAAAAAACATGTGTTGAAAATACTTGTATATACTAATGTGTTATCAGTTTTATGTTGTTGTTTGAATGCTACAAGAAGTGCAGATGTAATTCAAAAGATTCAAAGACAGTCTTTACCCAAACTAACCTGTGAAGCCGCTGCTGCAAACACATTTATAGCCGTGGAGAAGGTCAAGACATGTGGCATTGTGCAGGCAGGGAGAAGATAAGCACTCATCTATATTGACTTCACAGTAATTCCCTGCAAAGACATGACATTTAAAGCAGTGGGTGGCCATTATCGCAACAAAGTGTCACAATGCAGTACAAATTGGTAACATTTAATGACTGCGACACAGTCTTCAAATTTTATTACAATCTGATAAAGCTAGAATTCTGCCTTTGACCGGGAGTGTTTTTGAAGTTTTAGTGTCAAAAAACCTCTTTAAAAACTCTACAAAGCGGGGTAAAAGAAATGCAAATAAACAATGTTTTTCCTTGTCAATCTGAGGAAAGTATTATTAATTTTAGTAAACTAGTAATATATAGAAAATGTATCCATTTTCTGCAGCTTAGTCCTGTTTAGGGTTCAGTTGGATGGGGGGAAGGTGGGGGAGGTAGGTTGATGCCAGCAGTCGTTAGGAAGGAGGGGTACACCCTGGACAGTTCACCAGTGCATCACAGGGCCAATTATGGGAACAAACAATCATTAGTTCTCACACATGTACGGGTGAGTGTGAGAATGAGAATACATTTTTTAATATAGTTTATTTTGTGAAAGTACCGATTAAAAAAGCAGTTTTTGTATTTAGGAAATTTGTCCAATCACAGTTTGTCTAATTATTATGTCAAATCTCTGCCCTGAAGAGAAAATATCCAATACTACTCTCTAGAAACCCTATTGAAGCTGAGCCTCGACAGGGATAAATACACTCACCTGATAATTCTGAATTATAATATTTGATTGTGTTTTACTGCATATTTAGTAAATGGAATTGAAATGGAATGGGATCAACCAATCGTCACTGGCACACATATCTTATGTCCAATAAACTTGTAATGTTTTAATAAATATACAAACATGTTTATTTGTGTTGTGGACGTAAGATCAAGGGCAGTGGATTGGCATGGAAAAATAAAGTGGTCAACACTGTGCCAAGCAGATGCCAGACCATCAATTTAATGGCAGCCAAGATGCTGAACAGAGCCCGGCTCCACATGACCTTAAAAATTAAAAGCCTGACTAGACACATAATGTGTTTACTCTAAGTTTATAGTCGGGCGTCGATCAGGGTTTTTCTAAAAATGATTCCTTGATATTTATGATGTTAGTCAAGTGCCAGTTATGTTATAATCTTCCTGCATTGACTCTCTGTGCAGGTAGTGTGCTGTTGATTTGGGTTCAAACTAAAATAATAAAAGACTTTGTCTGATTTTTTTGTACAACAAAGTGAAACAAAAAAAAAGAAAAATCAAAGAGTTTAATTTGTAATTAGGCGATTCACTTAAACTTTCATTACACAAAAAAAACTAATCAAAGTCACAAAAACTTGATTGTTTTTGTCCAGCATCGAACAATTTAGAAATTTATAGCTGCAACACACTTTGAAGTGACGTTACTAATCGTTGCAGTTTTTAGAAGGAAATTCTGCCCACTCATGCTCTAAGAACTCTTTAGCTGCTGAACATTATCTTGATGCCCATTAGTCTCCTCCATAATGAGGCAGACATTTTCAATAGAGATCTGGACTGAAATCAAAACCCACACACAAACTGATAATTTGTGAGAAATGAGAGCTGCCATTGTCCTGCTGAGAAATGATATGGGAATCCCTGAGGAAAAAAAAACAATGTTTCTCTAAGGCTCTAAGGCTCTTTGCATTAATGCTACCTTCTCCGATTACCATAGAAACCAACCATAAACTCACAGATGCTTTTGCACACAAAATAGCTGGTCTCATGTATTTGCAGAATATGTTGTCAAATCAGGATATAGTATCAGGCCCAGAGAATTTGATGGTGTTTCTGCACATTTGGCTGTATGTATTTTGACAGTTTGTACTGTGCCAGAGAGCATTTCTCAGGCAGTGGTGAACAGGGATGAGATGCCATGATATTTCACACCATATATAAATATATAGACAACAGATAATAATAACAGATAATTGGTTTACAAATAGAAGGAAGGATGGATGGATGGATAGGTTTGGTTGTTTGTAAGATTGTTGAGCTGGACAATTAGCAAATTGATTCCCACTTGATTTCCTATCTTGGCTTTACTGGATCCAAATACCTGTGACTCCAGGAGGACACTGACAGTGGAATGAGTTGAGCTCATCAACACAGGAGCCTTCATTTAGGCAGGGCAAGCTGAGACATTCGTTTACTTTAATCTCACAGTTATTTCCTGTTAAAACAAGGAAGGCACAAAACATGTCGACTATTACATCGCCTGCATGGTTAAAACGACACTGTAACTTACAACAATCAACCCCAAATCGCTTCAAATAGCCGGCACTTACCGATAAATCCAGGTGCACAGAAGCAATTGTAGCCGTTCAGGGTGTCTTCACAAACACTCAGGGCTCCACATGGCTGTTCTTCACAATCATCAATGTCGGTCTCACAAAACTGTCCTGTTAAACCTGCAGACAGATAAAAAGAGAAGTGTCAGGGAAGTTTATATCCACAGAAGTTGAAATGCATTTAGTTTTTCAAATGACAAAATTAAAATGTATCTGATATTTCTCTTCAACTTTAAACATGGTGCACCTGAAAAACTGATCTTTTCTGAAGAAATTAGGATGTTTTGGGAAATGGAATGTGGACATCAGTGATGGGCATAACAGCGTTACTTTTTTCAGTAACGGGTAATCTAACTAATTACTTATCTACTGTTATAACGCCATTACCGTGACCAACACGCCGTTACTGCATGTTACTGTGTGTTACTGCGTGTTACTGAAGCCACTCATTGAAGTAGTGATGTAGTCATGTGCAAAAGATGTGGCTCTGAGAGCAGATGTTTTTTTTCTCCTTTCGCTGCTTACCTCAGTGCTCAGCCTCATAGAGGGGGGCGCTTTGAAGTGGACCCCCCTAATTTTCTGTCTAATTTTCTTGTCTGTTTAATACATAGTTTCCCAAAGACTGGGTCATGACCCTTAGGTGAGTCACAAGAGTTTTTTTTGGGTTGTCTCGCATCGTGTTTCCTTGGAGTTTATGAATAATGTCTATTGTCTTGGATCACAAAGGTTTGTGACTTTTAAAATACAGGTCCCCAGAAAAAAAAGTAGACAGACAGAGAGCGGTGAGGAGAGTGTGTGAGTGCCTCGTGTAGTTGTGTATTGAAATTATGAGTGACACCCGAAAGCAAAGCAGCATCTGGCTGCAATTTATAGATACTGGAAACAACAAAGCAAAGTGAGCAACAAAGCACCACTGAGGTGTTCAGAGCAGGGCACCGTCCCCACACACTGCTCCCCTGGTCCTTAAAGCTGCCCACTGTTCACTTTGGTGATGGGTTAAAAGCAGAGGTCACATTTGGTTGTGTGCAGTGGTGTGCTGTCTCACAATGACAGTTGTTCCAGTTGTGGTCTGCTGATGAGAAATAAATTAAAACCTCTATTCAGGTACCTGTTTTTGCTGTTGTACTGTCTATGGACCTGGCTTGTGAAACCCACTCTGGAAAAAAATCAAAATTCTTTGACATTTTTAATCTTGAAAAAAAAGGAACCCAATAGTTACTTTCCCTGGTAACTACTCTTTCAAAGTAACATGCCCTACACTGGACATGAGTGAATAACATGAATGTAAATGTGTCAAATGAGTAGATTAGAATATGAAAAGAAATCTAGAAAAAAATATATGGTGTTTTCATAATTTATGGTAATATTAAACTCCACTAGAGCTCAACATGACAAAAAATATATCTTATCATATCCTGCCTACTGTAAAATGATTACCTTTGGTATCGGGGCAACCCAAGCCTGTGGGCATGCTGGGAAAAGAGAGCTGAGGAGCTCTCTTAATGTTTAGGTTCTAATCCTTATTTAATGTCAGTAACTCTTTCCATCTGAAACTTTAATTAAAAATTATATTTGTGTGCAGCCTTAGACAAAAGTGCACTGTTTTTTCCTCTTTGCTTTAATACTCAAACTATCATATTTTACTTATTAAAGCACTAAACCTGGCAAATAACTGCAAATGCAGATCTATATGGTGATTTACGGTGCCTAAATGAAATATTATAAATATTATGTAGTATATAGTGTTTCTGTTACAACGGAATATTTTCATTTATTTAATCCACAGGGGATTATTTTAACGATACAACAAAACGCTGTTTGCAATAACACTAGTAGCAAATATTGCATACGTGTTTACACCAGAACATTTGCAGAACAACACAGCTTCTCAGAACCCTTCATATTCTGTATGTAGGTCTGGTAAGAAGCCAGATCTTTGCTCAAGTCCCATCAGGAGACTCATGGAGCAATGCACAAGGCACATTTTAGCATTTCCCTTTGAAGTGAGAACACAACTGACGTACGGAGCCTCGACGTGTACGTTTTCACAGGATGGTACTGTGCTGCTGCTAACACCAGGGAGATTAGACTCCTGCTCCTGCTGAGATGGAGGCCAAACAAGTGGAAACACTGTATTGCGTTTGTATGAGGAACTGCCTCCATCTGAAACAAAGAGCCAAACTGGATGGTAAACCCACCTGGCAAACAATCACACTTGAACCCTCTTGAAAGACCCACACACAGAGACACACACACATTGATCCATGTTGACATGAGCTATCAACACTGTGGTTCATAAGTGTTTTGCAGTGAGGCCCAGCCTACCCATGTTGACACACACATTCAAGTATTTGCCAGCCCTTCATGCAGGAGAGTTCCCTCAGGGTGGGAGGAGTGGAGTGGGGGAGTCAGAGTGGGATTTGACACACATTGGTTCACAGTTGAGGGGCAGTCATTGCCATGGTATCCAATAAGTTGAGGGATCAAAGCCGTGATTGATGTACTGTACAGTGAACAGTGTATTTGTCTGCCCTCCAATGTCTGCCAGACATGAAATGTGATTCCAAACCCTGCTGTCATTGCCAGTGTTCTTTCTCGTCTGCTTATTTACATATTTTACACACTCGGTGCATATATCAGTAACACAAAGATGGGATTTCAGCAAAAGAAACAAAAAAAGTAAAAAAATAATTTCAAGGATAATTTAACACATCATTTAAGCCCCCAAGACTCTATAATGGACAAAACTACATCCAGATGCAAGCACCAAAGAAAGACACTTCAACTGATAACAGACTGCAGGATATTTGTTGGCCAGATTCAACCCACAAATCCCAGTTGGCTGCATTAGTTGGGAGACGTTCCCATGACTTGTTGGCAAAAAAAAATCTGTAAGTGTGTAGGGACAGAAAGACACAAATCTGCAAATGTTTAAAGGGAATAGACCCAACCTAAATTCAGTCCCAGTCAAAAGAACTTTTTTTGGATGTAAAACTGTAGTGTGAACTAATTACCAACCCAGTTTAAACAAGAGTTGCTATGAGACAATAATGGGTGGGACAAGGGACATAGCCTCAGAAGACAACAGAGAGTTCAGCAGTGAGAATGTCAAAAATCCCTTCATGATATCTTTTTCAATGCATAACGCACGTCACATTTGATGCATTCAATTGGCTCTGGTTGGTTTGACAGGTTTAGAGTGTCGTCTGTGATCCCTCATCACATGCAGTCAAGTGTGTGATCCTTGGTCTTTCAGTTATACAAAATCTGCTGAAACTGAAACTGTGAGTGTGTTTTCTGAGATTTATCAACATCTGTAAAGACGGTGAAAGTCCCCGGCTTTAAGGTGCTCCCCTAGCTTAGTAAGGGACGTAGTTTGTGTGTAAAAGAAAACTGACTCTCCACTGACTCGTGCATGAGTGCTAATTTCTCTGATACCTTTAAGGTCTTTATCTTAACAGCTGTCTTCTACATCATTTCATCATTTGCTTGTTGGTTGTTTTGGTTTTTTTTGACAGGCATTGGGCCATGACTGTTCATCACTCTTTATTGTCAATAAGAAAATCCAATAGCTGCGTTCCAACTATAAATAACACAGATGTCAAGGCGCTCACTGTCTGCGTGATAAAGGACTAACTGAAGGTAACACACAATCAGACTCTAAGTGGACAGTGTCGGTGTCAATCACATCCTTTCCTTCCTCTATCCTACTGTTTCAATTTAAATAAATAAATAAAAAGATTGTTTATTTCAAAATTGTACGATAAATGGTGGCTCTGTGGAGAAGTTTTGTTGATTTGTTTTTAATTTGTCTTAGTCCCTTTTGACTGGATGCACTGGCATACAAGAACATCACTACAACAATGTTTACCAAAGCTGCATATTTTTAGTCTGTAACAAGAACACTGTATTTCCCAATTTACAAAAACAACAACAACCAAAAACTGCTTCCTAACTTGTATTAGTACCTGGGTGACATTTGCAATATTTCTCTCCAGTGGCCGTGACAGAGCAAGTTCCGCCATTTTTACAGAGCTCAACGTCTGAGTCACACAGAGCAGAGACCAACACAGAGCAATTCTTGCCTGAAAAGAAAAAAAAAATCCACTAATTTCAGCTCATCAGGAATACAACAGACTGAAGATATGATCACATGTAGATTATCTGTAGATTATTTTGATAAGATACAGAACAAATACACAATATGCTAATGTACATTCATGGGTAATACTGAGACACAGTCAGTGGTTTTACTTCAAGTTCCAGTTAGCTGTAAACACCATTAGCATTAGCAACACTGTTGTAGGTGAGAATTAAGATTATTTATCATTTTAAAGAAAACATAACCACTTTGTGACTTAGCAAGAAAAGCTTGAATTACAGATTGATGACATCAGTCTTCCTGTATTTCTGCAGTGCATGTGATAATAGTTTCTGGAGGAGGAGAAAACATTCCAGCTTCTACATTGAAGAAGTGCAACAATTTGATGGTTGTCACTGCCTTTGTGTCATCAATCAGCAGTGTATTCATTAGAGTGCTAACTATTGAAATTATGACACAGATAACTCACCGATAAAGCCTGCAGGACAGATGCACTCGTAGTCTGCAATCAGGTCAATACATGTGGAATTATTGGCACAATATCCATGGACGCATTCATCATAGTTGATTTCACAGCTCCAACCCCCAAACCCTGGAGCAGAGGAGAGAAGGAGCCTCATCAGAGGAGGTGCGTGAAAGCCAATAATCCACAGTGAAGCTTTTCACATTTCTTTATATACAGTAAATATTGTTGAAATAAAATGATATTTCTGCTGAATAATTTTATTACATCAAAAAGTTAAAGCCAATTTTTGACATTTCACTTTGCCATTAATTTATTCCTCCACATGCTCATGCTTTTAAAATGGCTATCATTAGCACTGTCACACACTGCAACTACAGGAGACCCGTGACTAATTCCTGGCTATTAGCAGCATCGATGCAGGTCAAATTCTCATCATTCCTTAAACTGACCATGGAACCTATTACCCCGTCTATCTCCTGTTCCCCTTCGCCATGTCATGAATTTTGACAATAAATCTGACTTCATTAAAAATGTATTACAATCGTTGCATGCAATTAGAAACTCTATCAGAACTTCATTAGTGGCGTATGATGTCATTTGGACTGCTGGGAGAAAATGTTTCCGCTCTACAGAGGTGGGTGGTTTTTTAACAGGAGAGATGTTGAGAAAGCATTAAAAACTTTAGAGGATAAGTTCTCTTTGTGAGGAAAGAATGAAAACACCTTGAAAGTCATTCACTCTTGTTCTACCACTTATTTCTTCTTCTTCTTGTTGTGAGCAACCTGACTTGGGGAAGGGTGGGGAACACACTGGACAGTTATCTAGTCCATCACAGAGACAAACATTCGTTCACACACCTCACTTCAGCAGTGATCATCTCACCTTATCCTGCCTGTTTTCTTCTGGGTGTATATTGACAATAAACTGACACAAACATGAGGACAACATGCAAATTCCATACAGATAGAGTGGGAATCAAACCTGTAACCTTTAGGGATGGGTCAATACAACTCTTTGAAGTCCACTATCGATACATATATTACAGACGGGAGTATCCTCAGATACCGATATCAGTCAGATACCTTCTTTTCTCCTCCAACATGTGCTGTTGCTGTTTGTCTCTATTTGCCGCATGTCTTGCTAAGTTAGTGGAGCATTTGGGCGTCTGTATCAGCTGAAGCTGCTTTTTTTCAATCTAGACATTTTAACCAATATCAGACCTACACCAATCCTGAGAATCAGATCGAGGCATCCATGGTAACCCTACAGCAAGAGCAATTACCAATGCTCCATGGTGCGGCTCAACTTCTCAACAGGGTTGTTAAAAATCTCATCATGAATTGAGACCTCAATCCCAACTATGTACTTCACAGTCTTTGTTGAGAGTCTCCAGTTTTTTTGTCTCATGCAAACAGTGGAGTTCACTGATTAGCTGCTGCTCTCCAGCTGAAGTTGTGCTCATCAGCTCTGTAATCCCCTGGTTGTTGGGTTAAGGAATAGAAAGTGGAGAAAATCAAGGCGCTGTGCAGATGTGAGAGAGAATGTGAATCAAAAAGAGAAGATGAACTTGTGATTGTCACAAGTTCAGATCAGGTGAATTCATTTACGACACATGTTTATTTTTTGCTTTTAATGCTACTGTATATGTGAGGGATAATTAGTTTTTCAGCAAATGAATTGAGGACAATGGTAACTCAAATTTATTTAAGTGTTTATGGACTACAGGGCATCAACAAATAATCAAAGAGATCAGTTTCCATTCAGCCTCATATAAATAGGCAGCGTAGCAGGAAAAGGTCTGCGTGAAGAAATAATAACACAAGGACGTTCTCGGTTCTTTAAACCATTTGGGAGGTTTGGATTTGAAACTGAATAGCGTAGATAAAATAAGTGTCATATCCATCAGAGACGTGTACCTTGGTACTGGCTTTAATAACCAGCAGGAAGAAAAGGCTCTTGAGGGGTTGAACATTCTGATTATGTGCAAGCTTTTCAAAATCATTTGAAAAGATTTCAAAGGAGGTTGAATAAAAACCCATCAGAATAAATATATACACCAAGATTGAGCACATTTGTTTAGCTACTATTAATGACTAGGCTTAGGTGATCTACCTGCACTGAAAACATTAAATATATATAAACTAAAAAAACTTAATGTTATGTTAATGTTTCACAAAGGGCTGAAATAATCTTTACATTTTGATGCAGAGGAATTAATATATAATGAAAAGTACGGAGAACTAACTTAGTGCAGAATAAGCAGGTTTTCCTCCTAAATAAAACCGAAGCTTCACACACAACCAAAAAACAACAAAACACAAACAACTGCTGTATTTGCAGAAAACCCTCCAGATGACAACCGCCCACCCTTCCCTCCCTTTCCCTCTCCTGCCTCCCCCCACGCTAGGAGGGGCTTTTGATGAAACCACAGCTTTTGGAGTGCAAATAAATTTATGGCAAAAATAAGTATTTCTCTGCGTAGCTGTTCCTTTGAAACCAATGCTAATGCACAGCACAAAGAACCTGCTGCCAGGAATTGTTTTGGAGGCTGTAAAATACAAATACTGCTTTAATAAACCAAATATTCAATGTAGAAATAAAAGGAACTAACGTAGAAGAAAGGGGCTGGGTTAATTACTCAGGTGTCTTATTTTTAAACGTGACTAAATATACCTAAAATGTTTCTTTGTAAAATGAAAAAAAAAAATTAAAAATTCAAACATTATGCTAGAAATGCTCTTTTTCTTATGGCAAGGACCAACAATAACTGATCTATGATCTATGATCTATGATCGACTGTTACCTGAGAGACACACACATCTGTCTTTATAACTTCCTTCATTTAAAGATCTGCAAAGTTGTTGTTTTTTTTGCATCATCAACAGGCAGACGTCAGGATAACTAAAGTATTTTCTGTGTGAGCGACAGCCTGTCACTACAGCAGTGACACGATGGACTCACCGCGCTGATGTGTGTCATGTGATCACAATAATCAATCATCATTAACAGGGCCACGGCTACATGAATCCATAGTGGCAGCATCACCTGCTGTTCCTCATTCATTAACGCAGTAACATCCTTCTACTTCCAGTACAATAATAATTCATGGTCCCACAGGAGGCCCAACTTCACCTCACAGCACCACAGCGTGCCGCGGGACACCATTTGGAAACCACTGCATTAGATAATATGGATGCCAAGCGTGTTGACCTGAAACAACTAGAGCAGCCAGCACCTCGCCGCGTGTCCTTCAGAGGTGATCTGCGGAGAGTAGTTTGCTGCAGGTTGCTTTCATTTACATAAGAAATCACTCACAATCCCTCACTTTGACATGTGGTGAGCAGAAGTTCAACGGCTGTAATGAAGTTACCGTTATTGATTGGGTTACATGAACTTGTATGTACAAAAGCCATTCATTTGAAAACGGAGCAGAGCTGGTTGAAGCCTGGTTAGCCGTGCAAGTCTTCTGGAATCTAACAGGTCAAGCCTTTTTCCACTTCTCCTATATTATGCCTGTCACTGCTGACAGTGACTGTTGTGATAATACTGTCATCCTCTCGGAGCAGAATCAAAATGACTTGACTGACACATGCAGAGAGGATTTCTGCGAAAATCATCTGCATAAATGGACCTGATTGTCAGATGCTTTAATGTTGCTAAAGACTGTGCCCCAGAGCTTACTGATGCAAACACATGAGACGGATTGCTTTGGAGCCGACTCCTTAAAAACAGTACATGTCGATTTACAGACGGCCTGATGTTTCCTCAGCTAGAGTAAACCTGACTCTGTGTGCGGCGGCGACTCAGACTGAGAATATGGACAGGCTAAATCATAGTTTAACTCCTGCTGGGTGCCGTTTGGAACACTTTAGTGCAATTCCTGCCCAGAGAGGTCGGTAGACTCTACATTTACATTTGACAGTGCACCGGGATCTATATTCATCACTGGGCAAAGAAAAGGCTCACTTTTAAAATCAAATAATAATCATCATCAATATTATAAATACAAAATCAAAATCAGACAAGATTAATCACAATTAAATCACACATTTCCACAGGTTCTTAATGCACTTGATAAATAATTTTTCCTTTTTTTAAAAAAATAAATGTGTCTGCTTTCTAGTGGTCATTATTTGTGCAATAATCCAAAACACAAAAAAACAAACAAACAGAAAAACGAGTGGAATATTCACTCGTATAGCCTTAAAGGGTTGCAGCAGGTTTGGGTTTAGGGCAGAATGACTCGAGGCTGAGCCTTTAATTCTTTGCTTTGCGAAGATTGTTTAATAAAGAGAATCAGGAGCCACAGTGTGTATTGTTGTTTATGTTGTTTAACATAAACCATCTAGAAACCATATTTTTTAATTTTTCTTTGGGGAAGAGTGAGAACCAACCCCTCCATGTGTGGCTGTGTGTTTTATTAGGCAAAGACGACTTTTCTCAACAGAAATAATGGCAGTATTGATTTTCCCCCTGCCAGGCAGTATGCTAATTGATTGAATCACTGACAGGGACCAGGTCTACCAAACTGATCCATAACCCATTTATCTGGCCACCAAATACATGTGTGCATGTCACTGATAGGTAGCCATGTCAATACCCGTTGTTGTAAATAAAGCACAGATAGATGGTGTGACTGATACATCCATCTGTGTAAACGAAGACGACGCGGACATGGAGAGAATCCCAAAATAGCTCACTCTGCTGCTCATGCTGGCCAACATTAGTTAATGCGGCTGAAAAATATTTCTCTGTTTAAATTTACGATTCAAATGCGTACATTTGCATAAAGACATTTGCATAAGGGACATTTACATGTGTAAAAATTTTTTAATTTGGTTTTTTGAAGTGCAAACCTTCAAAAAGGGAAAGTTTATCTAAATCTATGTCACATTTATCTGCTGTGTCTTCACTCACAGGAAATGGAGCAAAAAAAAAATCCTAATTTAAATTTACTAATTGAATTTAAACAACACAGTGCACATCACACTCAGTCCTGAGCTGCCTCTCTATCGTGTTTACCGTGTCATTTTTATTGATAGCAGTCCAGCAGACACAGCTCTCTGGATGTTCGATGACCTTCCAACTGCCCTTTTCTCATCATATTATATATTTCCTCCTACCACTAGATAATGGACAGCTATTGCCTCCAACAGAGTGTTCCAGAAGTGTTTAATAACCAATTGTGCATGCAGTTCACTCTGAGGTTAATGTTGCATGAAGGAATGTCACATTTACAGTGTCACCATCTCTGAATGCGACTCCCTCATCTGTCTGGCAGGAAAGTCAAACGCCACTGCAGGAATTAGGTGAAAGAAAGTGAAACTCACCCAGTGATTACTGTTTTAAAAACACATTTTGTTTAACGTGCCAGAGAGGTCAGCAGGTCAGGCCAGTTCAGTTTGGCCCCCTTAATGAATTTTGAAAATAGAAAAATACATATAAATATAATATATATTTTTTTTAATTATATGTCATTAACTATGAATAAATAATAATACATATCTAACATACTTGTATGTGTTTGCATGAAAACAAAGGGGAAAAACATGGACTTGTTATTTATAGATAATTATTATTATGATTACACACTGATGATGACTGTACTGGTCCGGCCCACTTGACAGCTAATTAGGTTGCATGTGGCCCTTGGACCAAAATGAGTTTGACACTCTTGGTGTAGATCATCTCACTGAAAAGGAAGGAGTCGAGTTTTTGGGACTTGGAGAGTAAACTCTAAAACAAAAGCAACAAAGAAATCTAAAAATCAGAAAGGAAGGACACAACTAATGACAGTCTGACTCCAAGCAAACACATTTATCTAACTCAATTTTCCAAATGATACTGTGATCACATGCGCCTGTCTATAAATCTGTCACTGTAATTACAACCGTAATGGAGGCTCCACTGACACTGCCGGTGTTCTGGTTTTCATCTTAATTTAATTTGTGCATATAGGCATAAAAATGGTGGGAGCAAATTATTTACAGAGATGCACTCCCATTGTGTGTAATGTCATAAAAGCACACAGTCAAACAGGTGCTGACCATGTTTCAAACCAGTGGCTGTTTTAATGACTGCAACTGCACGGCCTTGATTTATTGTACAGTAACAGCGAGGATCATTCGTCTCCGGAGTTATAAAACTAAAAGGCATCGAGGGCGGAAAACACAAAGCACAATGATAAGACGCCACAGGAAATATTATTTACAAAAGTCTACCCGTGCCCTACGTGACCTTTGTGACTTTTCTGCCTTTTGTCCAGGGCACCAAGACACAGTACACACCAAACACTTGTCCTCACAGAGTAGTGGTTTCTTTCTCCTTTAAACACCTCTCACTGTGACGTATTTTAATTTTTAAAATGATTCCACTGGACTTTGTTCTGAACGTACCATTCAAAGCCAAGTAGCCGGCTGTGGCACTGTTAGTGGTACAACTGGTGATTGAGTATTTAATTACCAGAGGGCACAGTAAAAGCAGTGTGGGCTCTGTCAGAAACAATTTGTGTGTAAAAAAGAAAGTTTAACAAAATTATTAAAATTAAAGTTATTATTGTTTTAATGACCAAAAACTGGAGAAAAGGTGATACCCTCTTTAAAAAATAGGAAATAATTTTAATAATAAGAATGGTATTAAATAGAAAGATGATTACAATAATTACATTTGTCAATGAATAGCTATTTTGATACTACAAGCAAAATCTTTCAAACTAATGTTAATGGACGAGTAAATTAATTTGAACTTCAAGTAACAAAAATGAGAATTAAAAATTATAATTTTTTATGTCATTTTCAAGTTAAATAATAGAATAAGTTTACAGTACTCGTGTTTCTTACTATAGAGAAGACCAAATCTGTGTTGTCTAATGTTCAAAATAACTTCAAATGATGAAAGTTAAGATTAAAAAATAAACCTTTAAAACAGACATAGTTCCAGATTTCCGTAAAAATTAAATGAGCGATATATTTAGGAAGATGCTCAATAAAACACAGGTAAGTTCAGTGCGTACTTACCAGAGGGACAGTGACAAATGTAGTCATTTGCCAGATCCATACAGGAGCCTCCATTTAGACAGGGCTGAGACCAACAATCACTCACACTCTGAGAACAGCTTCTTCCTGCAGAATACAGAGGGAAACAAATAAACCCCACTTAATGTCACAGCAAATACAGGCTTAAATATGTTTCCACTTATCAGTTTGGCTGTCACTGCAAACATCGCATAATTACTTAAAGTTATAGATGTGAAACATGAATATGCGAGTCATTTCCCTCCTGAACACGTGCAGCGTAAATTTCTATTTATTTTTTCACCGATGAGCAGCACTTGCTTTATTAAAGACAAAGTGTTGTTTCACCGGGCAGCTGATAACCTCCGATTGCTCTTGCTCAAAAAATGATGGAATGATTACGTGTTGGGGGGTGTTGGCGCTTCTGTGTATGCATAAATGGTGTAACCTCCATCCCAGTGTCCTCTGGGCAGGAATTTTATACGGAATTGATTTAAGATTTTACCGTCAAATTTAAAGCTCCACTAGATCCACCCTTCGGCTTTCAGACCTGTTAGTTCCCGATGAGCCACACAGCCCGTAGACCGCTAACAGCCTCAGGCGCTAGTGTACAACTTGCAGCACCAAAGGTAATTGTACTTTTGACATAATGACCCCATATGTGGCAGGAACCCTGTTAATCATGCATGATACCCACATAATTAAGGCAGACTGCTGACTGCATATGCGGCCTAAATATAAAATACATGACACACTTCCAGAAAAACAGTGTTATCAGTGGCCTGCAGGGGGTGCCACCTTCCCTGATGTGAAGTAGGTTAGCGATTTTTGTATCATTTCCATAAAAAGTTAAAAATGAAAAAAAAAACCTCTATGGTTGAATGGTGAACGCATTTTAAATTTTTCGGGACTAGCCATATATTCAACTTGAAACCATTCATTTGAAGATTATTTGGGAGTACTACATGTACTTTTACTTTTCCTCAGGTGCTAAATGGTACAAAATGCAGTCCCAGCAATGACTGTTGGAACAGTCAGTCCTGTTCCAGCAGCTAATTATAAAATTATCAAAACTACTGATCCAATTAGCATTTATAAAGTGTATTATTTTAGAATGCTGAAATATTGGTCTAATCCAGAAGCTTCAGAACCAAGTCAACATCTACTGTATAGTAGGCTGCAGTAGACAGGAGGACGTCTCTGCAACTGTACACACATGCAGTAAAATTCATCATAATAAACATTTTGGAAAAAAAAAAAATCTTTGGAGACACGAGGCTGCAGTAAAGATCTTGTATCTGATACTCACAGAGCAGCAGGCAGGGTGTGTGTGTGTGTGTGTGTGTGTGTGTGTGTGTGTGTGTGTGTGTGCAGCAAATCCAAACGAAGGCCCATTTTTAACCAACATTTAACACAGACCTGGACCACTGGACCAGATCTATGTCATGTCAATGTGAAACCTGCGATAAGTCAATGTGATGTATTCTTCTATCCGGGAGTTAAACAGTGCAGCCTGCTCCTTTGTACATGCTGGTGTAACAGTGGAGTCTGTGAAGAGGCTCTCAGTCACATCTGATAGTCACATACCTTCAAACCCCGGGGGACAGTGGCACAGATAATCACTGATTAGATCCACACAGGTGGCCCCGCTTGCACATGGGAAGCTGCTGCACTCATTTATTTCCAGTTCACACAGTGACCCTTCAAACCCGGGCATGCAGCGGCAGGTGAAGTTATACCGCTGGTCCAGGCAAACGCCGTGTTCCGAGCAGGCATGGCCGACGCAGTAATCGATGTCCTGCTCACAGAAAAGGCCTGTGTATCCTCGGGGACACAGGCAGCTGGTGACACAATAAAAATAAAAAAAAACTCTAAATGTAAGATAGAGAGAAAAGGAAATTCTCTGAAACCCTCAAGCGGTAGATCAGTAAATGTCGTACTTCTTTACAATCATTGACTTTCTGGGGCCTGAATGGCCTAAAGACAAATCAAGATTTTTCAACACTCACCTATAACTGTCTACCTCATCCAGGCAAGTGGCTCCATTCTGACACCAGTGTTGAACACAATCATTGACATTTATATGGCAGTTGTGACCGGACCAACCAGGCATGCAGATACAGGTGTAGCTCCGGGACCCTTTCAACACGCATCGTCCTCCGTGGGCACAGGGCTGTGGATGAAGCACGGCTCTGTTACAGAGCATCATGTGATATGTGCTGCTTCATTGGTGAACGTAGAAAAAGCTACCATCGCAGATGGAACTTTAAAGTCCAAAATACATCTGTTGTTCAACAAAAGAATATTTAAACACATTCTGCCTGATTTTCTTCAGTGAAGCTCCGACGTTCATGAATACAGATTTATGTTTTACAGCAGCTTCTCTCAGCGTTGCATGTAGTTCAACATCATGTCCTACAAGACAAATCAATGACTGTCGAAGGCTGTACCTCCTGGGAGTAGCCTGCAACGGAAAGATATGCCTGTAGCTGCTAGCTTTGTGTTTATATATAGAAGAGGGGAAACAATGGCAGAAGAAGAAGCAGAGCTGGATTGTGGGAAAAGAGCATAATGCAGACATCATGGCAGTCCTGTAAGCGGGCCAAGCGCAAGCTTTGCTCCACAGTGAGTGATGATCTCCATCTGTCATGTGAAGAAGCGTCTGTGTTTGTGGCTTTCTTTGTTTCTTAAAATAAATAACTGCTGCAAACCTATACATACAACAAAATCCATGCATGCAAACATACGGACAGTGCAAATCTTCAGGGACCTGCAGCATGTTGAAAAGGCCTTTTTTATTCTACTGTCCCTTTGTGCATGACAAACAATGACTCAAGTCCAGTACAGTTTCTCCTCCAACTGCTTAAAAAAGAACATGTGAAATAGAGCAAAAAAAAAATAGAGAAAAAAGCACATCACTTGAATGTGTAACGTAGAATTAAATATCAAAATAATGCATGTTTTGGGGCTGTCAAACCATGATTATTCCTTAGAAATTATGATCCTATTATTGATGATTAACTGATCAAGTTGAATTTATATATTTATATATATTTATATTTCATGTATTGTTGTATGTGCCTTGAGTATGTGTCTTAGAGATGATGACATAATTTATATTGAAAAAGTAAAATTTAGTTTTATGGAGTTGGGCAGCACAGTTTGATCTGCTCTTATGTCTACAGGCCAACAGGTCAAGTTTTGTATCTGTTGTGCGCAACGAAAAGTGAATTGACCAGTAATTTATTACTATATATCCTTGGTATATTCACATCTATTTTCAAGATTTTTTTAATGGAATTTTGATCATCTGCCTCATTTTTCGCAAAGCATATTTTACACTGCAGAATTCATAAATAATGCATTGCTGTCGTTAGTCTGGTTTTAAGTCAAACTTTTCCTGGCATAAACAACCTGAGTGTTCAGCTTTAACTATGATTATTGTGTTTGTGGATTATCTTCCTTAAGGATTAATTCTTCTGGTAATCCCTGTGTCCAACAAAGGATTGGATAACATTTAATGAATAAGATAGACAATCACTTTACTTAACTCCACACTCTTGTTTACAGTGTTAGAATTTAATTTTCAGATGCAGGTTTTTCCTGTAACAATAGTATTAGGTTTGGTTCAGAGTATATCTCCCTATGTGCAGTACATTCAATTTAAAAACAGTGTGAAAATGTCTCCTAATAATAAATAATAAATACACCTCGTCTGTACATGTCCTTGCTCTATGGTATGCCGTTTTTAAAATGCAACAGTGCTGTATACCTGTCTCGGAAATCATGAACACAAAAATACTTAAAGACTTAAAGATTTCTAAACATGCAAAACTGAACGAACATATTTGCGAACAAAAATATTTAAAGGTTTACTCACTTGAAGGTTTTCAGGGCAGGGTATGCGGCATGTGTATTCAAGATTGACTGGCAGATCTACACACTGGGTCTTGAATGGACACGTGTTGTTGGGGAGCGCGCAGGCGTCAATGTCAACATCACAATTTTTTCCATGAAACCCTTCAAAAAATATTGTTTTAGTTCATTTGAATGGAATTGGTGTTAAAAAAAGCCAGAATAGCTAATAGGAACAGAGTCTTAAGTCAAGAAAACGAACCAGGCAGGAAGGAAGAAAAACTGAGCACAACCAGAAAAACTGGAACATGCATTTCTGCCACAAAACCACAAAATGTTTGTTAAAGATGATTTATCATATTGTGGTGAGTTGTCATTTTGCTACTTTGAACCTTGAACCATGAGTATTATATATAATTATAAATATGTCTTAATGATTTGGGGTGTAAGATATTTATACATTATTTATATTACATTTATTTATTGCATTTCAAATTAGGACATCGCCTCTAGTGATGATAACGTTGAACAGTTTGCTATTAGAAATAGGCTAAAGAGACACAAATTCACTGTAATATATTAATCAGTACATTAAACAGTGGTTCTTGTGACCCCATTTTGACCTTAAGTATCCGGGAACCTCGGGGACTTTATTTAGTCAGGTGGATATCATCTCTCAGCAGACTTTTATATGCTGCATTTTTATAGTGAAAATACACAGGTGTTTAAGACTGTATGTGGTGTTTTATTCAAAATTTATAAAATAATAATTAGCTTTTCCGTCATCCAAATGTGCTCTACTCATGTGTAAAACTCAGTAGCCAATGAGATGTTGCAGCAGATGAGAAATCGCTCCCATAATCTGTGTTTACTCTGTTGTATTTCATTACCGTAGATCATATCTATTAATGGTTTACTTAAGGAATTAGAGATCAAGGACTACAGATGGCTGCAAAAACACACAAAAAAACCCCAAAAAACCGTCTGAGAGCGATGTCAAACTGGACTTACACTATTGTGTTGTAAACAATAACAATAATAATTTTAAAGCACAGTTAAGTGTTTATCTTAGATAAAGGTGAGACGTTTCTACATTTTATGTACCATGTATGTGAAACACACACTGCATTCAATGAGTAGCTGCACAGCAGCCATTTAGGCCTTTATGCTGCTGTGGTTCTGATTGAACTTGGCATCGGTGATGAGATGTTTCCACTCAATAACCCCACTGGCAGGGCCATTAGCCCACACCCTCATTTCCAAAACAAGACCCACATTTCCAATAGACGAGTGGACACGTCCGCTTTTTTCTCTGGTTGAAAAATTAATGATCTTCCAAAAAAAAAAACATTAAGACTAATAAAAAAAACTCACTTCATTACTAACATCACCAGTGTGAGTAGAGGCTGAAAAGACTGAAGGTTTGTGTATAGAGCAGGTAGTTTGAGTCTGTGCATGTTCCATACAAACACAGTGCCATATTTCTCCTAGTAAAGGAGCAATTGGGTTCCTTTGGTTATTACTTCCCACTACTACTGCTGCTCACTATGCTATTTACACATACAAAAAAGAAATATATATATATATATTTATATACACACATATACACATTTATAAGTATAGACATATATACCATCTGCTTCATTCGTGTCATTTGGAGTTGAAATCTCTTTAAAGAAGAGCAAACAAAAACTGACTTTACATTTCCCTGCAGGGACAAACCTTCACAAACTGTGAAAAGCATTAACTGTGAGCTAAGACAATCTGCCGGCTGTCTTTTGTCTCCATGTGATGGAAAACATTTCAATAATGTCGTGAGTAGTTGCCAGCAACAGCAACACCACTGAACCGTACCAAAAACTGAGCTCTTGTGAGGGGTCCGTCAGTTTACATTCCCTTAATGTAAATTCAGACTCAGCCGGCGAGGCACAATAGGCAATTACTGGAAAATTATATTAATGGGCGTTTCATAATATAATGGTTGCAACAATTTGGGTGGCATTATTGAGCTCTGGCAATGAGCTCAAGAGGTTTTCCTCAGCTGCCAATCACAGGCTGAGACTGTAGAACAATGCTGTGAATGATGTGAATAGACCACGTGCACAATGACTTATGCTGCGATCAATATTGCTGTTAGCGGCAGACTTTAAGTAATAAAGTGTAATGCTGTTAAACACAGTGTAAAGTAGCAAAAATTTAATTACATGTGTAATAATGCCATTAAATCGTTTTTTTTATATTTAATGTAAATTAATCCAGTTTAATGTAAAACTTAATGATGCAGACCTTCACCAAAGGCCAAGACTGCAGGCTAATTATACAAGGTTTACAGTCCTGCAAAAGCCTCAGCTTAAGATGTGACACATTCACAGCATGTGTGGTATAAAATCTAGTATAACTAACAGCCTACAGGTCAGTACACAGTACAACATACCTGTCGGACACCGGCATTCGTAGCGTCCTACCAGGTCAGTGCAGGTGCCGTCGTGCAGACAGGGGCTGGAGTCACACTCATTGATTTCAATCTCACAATTGATCCCTGGAAAAAAAGCGGGCATAAAAAAATGCATTTAATTTACAAACCATGACAGTTATGCGTTGTTATTATTACTATCATTGTTTTACATAGTTGACATAAGGATTACATCCTCTACAAACAAACAAAATGTGCTATAATCAGTGGTTCACAAAGGCTGGAGCAGGTCAATCTATGGGGCACTGAGCTATTTTGGGTCGGTCATCAAGGAACATGTAATCGGTGACCAAATAATATTATTCTTTCAATGGAATGTTTGTTTTTAAATTTCTCAATTTTTTCATGTACATTTGCTTTAAACTCATTAGTCTTAAAGACGTGATAATTCATTATCGAAGGTGTTAAACCACCTGTCCTTCTTTGAAAGTAGTGTGGGTAGAAATATCCCTGTACTCCACAGGGAAAGCTGTGAGTCAGAGTTCTCAATTCTCTTTCTTGCTGAAAAAAAAGACAATAACAAGCTATGTCCTGTCTGCAGAGAGCAAATGAGGTGGGGAATGCAGTTTGCTTGAGAGGAGACTGGTTGGTGCTCAGCTGCCTCAGCAGCTGCTGGTCCTAATTCTGCGGCTAGGTGTGGGCGTCTTCAAGAGCAGGCTATTAATTTAAAACGTCCTATCATCAATAACAGAGCGGCAGTGACATGTAGTGAAAGTCCCTTCTTGACAGCGGCAACCTCATGCTGCAGCGCAAACACTGTGATTGATATCAGCTGCACACGAGTTTCCACAGGTCATTATACACAACATATACCATGATGTGAAGCTGCAAAATACGCACAATTTGTCCCGGTAAAATTCAACAAAACTCCTCTTCTCATTTGTGCCTAAAGAAAAAAAACAATTCAATCAACCGGCAATGTTTTTTATAAGACTTAAATTAAATATGAGGTTGGTTTAGATGCACAATGTTGTTTTGCAAGATTTAAAAAAAAAAAAAAACATGCTTGAGATTGTAAATATATTCGATGCATGTTTCATTAAGGTGAGTGAGGTAAAATATACAACAAGATTTAGATTTTAGCAAATGTAAAACTGTGCAGTACTGGTGGCCTTTGTTTTAGGGTAATTTACAAAGCACCTGTGCATACCAGTTTCTTTAGTGGGAAAAGAAATGCTATTTCAGCATCTACAGCCAACATAAAGATTTGTATTATAAAAGTAATAAAAACCAATATCAATATCAGGAGAGTGTTTCAGACTTGTGCAGATTGCTTCTGGTCTTCTGTTGCACATAAAACCAGAGTTCCTGTCCATGCTCATCTGGTTAGAGGAGCCGGGGACACACAAGCAATCCCAAAACATTGGTACTTAAAAAGAGCTGCAGATGAAAATCTTTAATCTATAGGTTTTCATGTCAGAGTGAAGACAGCAGCGGCAGCTAGATTAGACTAAAGGTCAAATGTTCGATCAAGTCAGGTAAAAAGAAGTGAGTTGTTTATCAAACAATAGAGATTAAACGTAGGGGTCACTTAAAAATAAATATCCAACTGTTATTCTACGTTTAAGACCTTCGGATTTAGCAGTCTCCTGTGAAAAACGAACATGTTGGTTGAAGAGATGTTTCCTTAATTATGGTCCATGACAGAGAACTGTCATGTTTCTGGTAAAATCTGCAAAAATGATAATGGCCTTTGTCTAGTGCACGGCTATAAATTCAACTGCAAAAATCCCAAGATGCTGAAGAATGATGAATTCTATCAGTCACTAAGACCTGCCACCGTGTGAGAGACAATTTTCCATTACCGAAGTGGCAACAGATTTCAGCTTTGAACAGAGGGGAAAAAAAATCTTGTTCATGTAGTGCTATGTAAGGGCTTATCTGAGTGACAGGTGAGTGTGTCAGGGCTTAAGGCTAGATGGGGAAATATGGTATAGGCCAAAGCTGCAAAGCACTGGGGAAAAGGACAAAACATATCCACTGGTTGTTTAAGCCATAAAACCAGAAAGAGCAATTCTCTACTGTACCATATAGAACCATTGTTTCAAATTAATAATATGCAGAAAAACACGCAAAAATATACATTTCCATAAAATTGTGAGGAGTTAATTGAGGTTGAGTTGAAGAAGTGACTGGGTTTATAGGACGCCAATCCAGCTATTTGGTGCAGGCAGTAAATGTGTTTTCTGTAAATCAGAACACATGGCAACAATAACACCATGAAGACAAAACAACACTCCAGGCAACTCAAAGGAAAGGTTATCCAAAGTACAGGTCCAGAGATGGATACCAGGAAAAATATCCCCAGTCACTGGACATCTGTACAGAGAGTATTGTTAGAGCAAATCCATCAATAGGGAATTGGAAAAAATGTGGCTGATGTGTAAATCTGCCTGGAGACATCTATCCTCATAAACTGAGGAAGCGCAGAAGCAGGAGACAACTAAGGGAAGCCATCAAGAAACCTTGGAGTATTTTCTAGAGCGTAAAGGTTTCCACAGTTGAGCTGGTGGAGATTTTACACTCCAGGGCCACTGTCCAGATTGGTTTATAAATATTCAAAGCTCAGAGTAGAAAGTCACAAAAAATAAAATGATAAATAAATAAAGCTAGAATTAATACCAAAAGCACAATAAACTGTTTCCGGATTACCTTTTTTGGAGAATATATGATATTTTATATTTGTCATCCAAATATATTAGAATCTGATCCTAGTTGTCTGTTACAGAAAATACAGAAAATGCATATTTTAAACATGATATTTACAAATGTCTTATATGTGATTACTGCCTTGATTGTATCATCAGAACAAATCAGTTTCTTGATGTCTCTATCGCTGTCACGCTGGCTCTGCTTCACATGCAAGTTCGTTCTCGCTCACTCTAGATTCAGGAATATTTTGTTTAGTTTGGAGGCTCCAGAAGAGACTGAATTTTCGGGAGACTTGTAATGCCTGAATTATCTTCTTATATTTTCCTTCTTTAAACAGATCTAGAAGCTAAGGGCTAGTTAAACTTTACACTGTGTGCACGACAAAACAAAGAAATGTTTTTTTTTTGTTTTTTTTTATGAAGTGAGAATGCGTATTGGACTAAATGCAAAAAACGTCTCAAAATTGGCAAACCACCAGTGCAAACCATCAGTTCTCACTGTAACGCCTCATAAGTTATACTTCCCGGCACTGGAAGGCTTGTAGAGGAAAAGGTTAAGAGAACAATGCAAAATACAGTCCTGTAGGACAATTTGTTCCAGTCAACATCAGAACAGCAGCTTGGGAGAAGATTTATTTCATATTCTGTAACGAGTACTATATAGAAATGGTTTAAAGGTGAAAAGTGAACGTTGAGGAGTCACAGCCTGGAGCTCAATCCAATAACAGATCTGTGGCTGAACTCCCAGTGAAGCCCAGGTGAGCTCGAACGGTTTTGCAAAGAAAAATGAAGTGAAATGGCGATGTCGAGATGTGAGCGGCTGACAGGTGTATTTCACACTCAGAGCTTTGGTACAGCCACTAGGTACTGTGGAGTTTTCAACATACATTCATTTTTGTCAAAACCACTGCGTCCATCCTGTGGGTTTATTTAGGCTAAAGTTGTTAGTATGTTTGTCGTGTTCAGTTGTTGTTATGCTCTTTAAAACAATTTTCACTAATAGCTGGAGCAGCTAATTTTGGCAGTGTTGTCCTGGTGGTTAAGGAAGTGGACGTGTGTCTGGAATGTCGCAGGTTCAAATCCACCAGCCACCAGGTTCCACTGAGGTGCACTGAGCTAGGAACCATCCCCCGCACACTGCTCCCCGGGGGCTCAGCTTGTGTGATGGGTTAAAGGCAGAGGCCACAGTTCGTTGTATGTAGTTGTTTCACAATGACAATGAATTGCTTTCGCTTCACTTTAATTTTCACTTCACTTTCACTAATTAGAAAGCAGTTTGTCTCACTACTCTAATGTGACTGCAATTAGCATCAACTGACGTCAAGGGGAACAGGAAAATGCTTCAACTACTGTAGTATACAGGTCTTTGTAATAAATCTGCCTGGTAACATTCATTGTCTTTAATCAATAAATTAGAAACATTGTCTTGAAGTAACATACCCTTGAGGTTTAGTACAAACACACTGGAACTTCTTGTTTTATTTGAACAAGTCCATTAATATTTGTACCGAGGTAAATAAGGGAGGAGGTCCGCCTACATGGACTGGTCAGAGGTCAGTGATGGAAGAGAGAACATGTGTGCAAACATAAATCAAACCCTACTGTATATTTGCACACATGGCAGTTTGCATAAAGCCGTCGATTAAAAAGTTGCCCACCTCTTTAACTGTGCTGCCCCCTGTGACCCCTATGTAATAACACAGCAGCTTTAATGCACAATGTTGGAAGTCAAATGTGATAACCTAAAAAAAAATTAAATAATGTTGAAATAAAAACACATCGCTGAGGTGTTTTTTTTTTTTTAACTAAACACAACGTTAAAGGTTAGATAAAGTGAATTAAAGTCTGTAAAACATGCATTTAGTTACTACTCCGTGATCTAACTGCTCCAAATGCCATCTTCTGACTTCAGCGTAGCTGGAAACATCAAATCTAAAGATTGAAAAGCAATCCGTGATCTAACTGCTCCAAATGCCATACAGCTGTAGTTACAATGGTTACACTTAAAGGTTAAATAAATGTAAAATACAAAATATATATATTTAAGTATGTTGAATATAAGTTTCCAGCTTCAACTATTCTGGTTGAATACATTTTTTGTGTGTCTGGAGGTGTTTGGTGGTTTGCTGGAAATCTTTTTCTCTGGGAAACACTTGAATAAATTAAGGACTTTTGAATAAAGTCAGATTTAAAAAAAAAAAAAACGTTGCTGTTTGTATTATCACACCCACATTCAGTAGGTCAAAACAGGCAGATGTATAATTGAAGAAACACAGCCATCTGTGAGTGACACAGAACACACGTTTAACCCCGTGGAGGAGAATGTTTTTTTCAAGAAGTTACTGCTTTTTCTACTTCTAATGTTTATGTACTTAGCTGCAGCAGGCGGGCAGACGAGGCAAAAGGAAGACAATACGGTTTCTTACCCTTGAAGCCGTGGGGGCATTTACAAGTGTACTGAGGGGGGGCCGAAGGCTGGTTCGTTGTAATGCAAGTGGCTCCGTTCAAACAGCTGTTTGGTTTAATTAGACAGGCGTCTTCTACATACTGACAGAACGTTCCGGTCCATCCCAGGGCACAAAGACACTGCAAAACAAACAAAAAAAAAAGGGTATGATAAATAAAGTCAGGCTGCTTTTGGCATCACTCTAATATCCTTTAAATCTAATTACAATGTCCTTAACTGCTCTGTTTCCCAATAAACACAGATTAATGTGGTTTTGAGTTTTGTTCTGTTCGTAGGAAACATTTTTAATGACAGGGGAATAAAGAGAGCGTCCTGCCCTTGATGAACCACTCTATGGTTTTTGCTAATGTTCTCAACAGACTTTGAATAAAATTGAGCATTACAAAAAGAAAAAAGAAAATGCCCATTACAAAAAAAAAAAAAAAAAGAACATTCATTATGCCCAACCCTTTTGAGAGCACATCAACATGAAGCACCTTAAAGTGGATTTTAGATTAACGACGGTCTCAGTGGTGTAATGGAAGAGGATTGATGGAAAATAATAATTAGGAGCTGTGGGGCATTACGGCCCTGTCTCAGGTGCCATAAAAACACAGACATTGAGGAAAGTGAGCAACAGAGAGGCAAATTAGACCAAAGCTACTGTGTCTGAGCCACGTGTCCAGGTATGATGATTAATGGGTTAGAATCGGACCGGTGCTTTAAAATCCATGTGGTTCATGTCATAAGACGATATATTTTAAGGTGTACAACAGATTTTTTTATAGTTTACAGTACATGTTTAAAACATCAGTTCCCATCATTTCTTCATCTATCTTCCAACAATTACTTTTCTGTTCAGGGTCACTGGGAAGTAGTCATCAGAGAGTGTGACAGAGCCACATACACAGACATACAACCGTTCACACTCGCATTCACTCCTAGCTCAGTTCAGAGTGAACACCACAGCCTAATCTTTATGTTTAAAAAATGTGGGATGAAATCAGAGAAGACACGCACTCACAGACTCCGCAAAACTATTCAGAAAGACTGTTGTGAGGCAAGCTTGCTAACAATATGTGCCACAGACAAATGCATTACTAAATTAATTGTGGAAATGTAACTTTATCGAACAGTTTTTCAAAAATTATTTTGTAAATTGTTTATATACGTATTATTACATACTTAAATAGCATCTATATTTCTATTTATTTATTTTGATATATATGTATTACATATATTTTATATATATACATACATATATTATATTATTAATATATGACTAACACTACATACAAATATATTTTTTAAACATTGGACTAACAGATGATAGATGTGACTCTTTCTGAATGAGGTTTGCTTTCTTAATGCCACAACAGAAGACTTGTTCTAAGTGCTGTGTGAATCATGACTCTGCTTATAAATGCATCCACCTCCTGCTCTGTCTGTGACCTGCATTAAGGTGCAGAGTGGCCATATTTTGTGGGCTATTCCATTAGGACAGAAACATTGAATTACTCACCTGATATCCACCAATTACACTCAAACACAATCCCTCATTCAGGCAGTTGATATTGAGCAGCCTGCAGTAGTCAATTATTTTTTCACAATTCTTTCCAGAAAATCCTCTCAGGCATCTGTTGGGAGAAGGTCAGTGTCATCAAAATCAATCCTCCCTGAGCTCTGAGCACTAACAATATGTTTTCTTAAAAAAAAAAAAAACATTCACAGAGTTGCAATTTTGTTTTCAACATGAACTCTTTGTCACACTGTCAGACTCAGTATGTGCTGAACAAATGAAACGTCGAGGCTTTTGGACCTGGAGTTTCAAATAGAAGTGAATGAAATAAAGATGAGGCTGAAACATAATTTTTATATTATGACAACTTTTTTTTGTATACATTCTCTGGTCCTACCGTTTTTATGAATAAACTTTTTATCATGATTCACCATTATAATCAGATATTTAGTAAAAAACATTTGGACTCAATGATCATTATCTTTCATTATCATTATGAATTCTTCTCTTTTTAGACATGGTATAATTGCTTATCAGACACTGCTTCAGACATTTTAAAAAATAAATAGAACTGAACTGTGGGAACCAGACAGTGTGCTGCTAAAACATCCACTTGACTGAAGTTGACATTTCCAATGTCTTGGTTTTTTTGTGTCTTTTTTACTGAAGGACTCGCTCTTAGTATATTTCAACTGCATAAATTCAGCATAAATAGTTTGCACATAAATATTGTAGTTGTGAGGCATTTCGGTAACAGACATAAACACTAGTTTAGGACAGGGAGGTCATGCAGATTTAGCAGGGGATTCCACCCTTGTCCTTGATTCTTCTCCTACCTTCTCATCTCATCAAAATGATTATTTAACATTGCTTAATATAATCCCGGAAAAAATATTTACAAAATATTATTATCCAAACAAATAGAACTAGGAGAGTGGAGAATGGATCTTTAACCTGCAGTAATAAGCATTTCCCCTGGATGTGCAGGTGGCGTTGTTGAGACACGGTGATGGGCTGCACGGGTTCAGCTGCCTCCTGCATGTTGGGACCACAATGCCATCTGTACAAACACACTCAGAGACCTGCGTGGAGCCACAAACAAATAAGGTCACTTGTCTCGGGGGGAGAGCGGAGGGGGGGCAGGGTAAGAATGAAAAAAAACCAGCCTATAGAAGTGCAGAACATTATCAATAAAAGAGCAATTTACCGTGAATTCACAATGTCTCCCATTCATTAGTGGTACCTGCAAATCTTTACCGGCGAGTGAGAATGGGACTGTTATGGGTTGCAAATCTTATAAGACACTATTGGTGTTGTAAGTCAAAGTTAAAAGGATTTAAATTTGAAATAACACTCTCAGAAAAAAAAAACCCAATATTTATGTCAAGCAGCAGCGATATTGGGCATTATTTTGATAAATGTCCCTTTAAGCCTCCTCCACTGTAGTCTTAGGTGGGCTGTGAAAATATATAGAGCACTTGGAAAAGTGTAATGAGCAAAACAAAGGTCACGGAAAAGACAATTAGGCCATTACTGCATTTCCTCTGGAGTATCCTCTCCTACATTACAAACACTATTGCCTCCGCAGCACATATTGTATTGCTACAATAACATTTTCAGAGAAAGGTGAAAATTACAGCAGGCATCCAATTACAAATGCTTTGATGAGCCGTTGCAAACTGACACCTAAATATGCAGCGGGACATTTAATCAAATGCTACAGAAAGCAACTGCATTCTCCCAAAGCTCATTTCCAGTAAAGAGAAAATATTAATTGCTATTGCAGCCTTCAGACGGAAGCAATTTAATTTAGTTTTTAAGAAAGCATATTAATTTTCACGTGTCATTTTCTTTTTATATCCCAGCTAAAAAAAACAAAAAACAAAAAAACAAAAAAAAAAGAGCAAGGAATAAACGAAATAAACTCCTCACATGTTCCCCTCCGGTGCACTGCTGGCCGTCCTGACATGACAATGACGCACAATCAACGTCAACCCTGGAATCGCAGTCGAGGCCCTGGAATCTCACCGGACAGTGACAAAGGAAGCCTTCAGGGCTTTCTTCACACAGGCCGCCGTTTCTGCAGGGGTTTGGCTGACAGGCGCCTTTTTTCTTCTCACAAGGTGGTCCTATTAGATAGACAATGTGTCACTGTTATCACTTTCATCACAGCACGCACGTCAAAATGCATCTTACGTTATAGAATTTGTGAAAACCCATGGCACGTCGAGGGGGGAGCTGGAGAGTAGCCCTCAACCAAGGAGAAAATTGTTAATAACTGAGATGAGTCAAAAGGTTTCCAGAAGACGTTTTAATTACAAGACGTCCAATATTAATTATTTACTAATATGGGTTACCACAAGTCTCTCAGGTGTCTCAGAGTGTTTTGGAAGAGTCTTTGTCAAGAATTATGCTAATATTGGATTGTTCAAAATTCCATCAGACTCTTGATGACAAATGCTTGTTGAAGGTGCAGTAAGTTCATGAAGTATCTCTGTATTAATGGCGATCTGAAAAGACTTTCTATCTTCTTTCTGTTCTAAATCACTAATTCCAAGTCTTGTAAAATGTTTTAATGAGCAGTTAGTTAGAAAGTTAAGTGTCTAATGTGTTTTTACAGAAATATAAACACCCACTCTACTCCTTTCTCACCATCAGGAGCTAAACACAGACAAGGTAACGCCACAGTGACACTGTATGCAAAGGATAAAATTAGAACAAATTCACTGAAGGTTCAAGGTGAATGAAATTTGACGGAATTCCCAAGTGAGGCTTTTCATTTTTTGTGTTCCTCACCAGGTACCTACACATTTATCTTCTGCAGCTACTCTTTCTTTGCATATTCTCTTTAATCCCCCTGCTGATACTAGCGCTCATGTCCCAGAGGCTCCTGCTAGCCTCCTCTGTGGGCATCAATCTTACTGCGTCCAACTTAGTGGCTTCCTTAAGCCTCGGCTCACTTTCCTACTAACAGAAACTGACTTTGTAAAAAGTGGTTCACTCAAAGCTTTCGGAAGGTCCATGTTGTAACAGAGAAAACTGGGAAAATCTGTATATATTTATGACACAAATGATGAAGGAATTTCCTGACCTGGAATGGACTGTTTTCAGCTAATAATGCATAACTTTTTATTTCCAAACATTTGTGCTGGCATCAGTGTTTATCCCAGATCTGAACAGACTTTATCCTTTAAGAAAGTATTACACATAGCAAAATATAGCAAAACCAATTACATGCATCCCATCCCTTACACGGACACACATATTGTGTTTAAATACAACGTCAAATCTTGATTGTTCTCGCCACTAAACGGCACAACTATCACAATCTCATACAATGTGGAAATGCCCCCTCCAAAAATGGGATTAGTTGGCAACAAATACCCTGGAGCTTCTGCAAAGTCGAGTCAAATCAAAAGAAAATCTCATTTGAAATGTCCCATGAGTTTGGCTCATTATTCTTTGCGCATAGACTTTGGCCTGTGAGGGCAGCCAGCTCTGGAGCAGCCACTAACTTCCACTTGATTAATGAGGCGACTGCAGCAGGAAGGTAGAGGAAGCACGAGCTCCACAGAACTCCCAAGAAGCTGATGGGACGAGAGGACACTGCGAGTGCGCCAGTGCAACTCATTCCAATCTGTTTATTTGAGAAAACAGAAGCAGCAGCAGCAGCAGCAGTTAAAGGAAAATTAGATAAAAGCTGCTGAAGCACAGGGTGCATTTGATCCACCAATTTGTTTTCGATGTGAACCAGATGAATTATCAATGTAGTTAATGCTGTGACTTACGTCTGGTTTGGTTTTATCCAATCGGAAGTTACGTGCTTATTCTATTTTTTTTTCTTTTTCTTTTTTGAAGTAAAAGAGGCTTTTATTATTTAAGTTAATCTTTTGTTTAATTATTAACATTTTGAACTTTGTATGCCCCTGAACATAAGAGGGCGATGTGGTTTAAATTAATTAATTAATTAATTAAAAACAGAAATCAGTTTCAGTATGTTCGGAAATACAATTGTTCATCGCAAGAATTGCTGCTGGTTTCTTCAAACAAAAAAAATACAAGAACATTTCTCTCTAGAGTAGAAAAAAATTCACTTGCTTCTACAAAACAAAAAATACAAGAACATTTCTCTTTAGAGTAGAAAAAAATTCACTTGCTTCTTTAATATTACAGTAATTATGATTATTTTTGTGCAACACTCTTACATTGTTTTAAGCATTTGTACCAGGAAAAATATTATTATTTATTAGATTTTAATAAATTAAACCACACAGAAAATACAATCTGCATAACAACATAAACCTGATGTAAACATAATTATGTTGTGAATTTAATAACTACCTCCATGTTAACATTGATATAAATCAAATTTTCAGAAATCAGAATAATATTAAAAATACAAGCTTCACAGATGTTGACAAGCATCAAACTCTGTATTTAATAATGTCACAACAAACAATAAATTATATTTTAAAGGATTGCCGTAAAGCTTTGTTTCATCAACAGTGACGCGCAGTTAGCCCGTCGGCAGTTTACCACAGGCTTTTATAGCCACATGTCACTGCTCGTAACATGTAGTGGTGGCTTCATATATTACTATAAAATACAGCATCAAGTGGAAGCAGGTTTAAAGGCCCTTTGTGGTTTTTTTAGGTTAGAATATGTGACCCTTCTTAAGATCATTGTCCAACTGGGGCCAATAAAAGCACTTTTGGATTTCAGAATAGAGCTCTGCTCTCTTAAGTGTTAAGAAAAAATGATGAAACATTGTGAAAGAGATGGACTTACCATTTACCCCTGTGTCACACATGCATGTGTAGGAAACTGATGACACTTGAACGCACGTCCCATGATCACAAACTCTCTCACAGTTTTCTTTTCCGATGACCTCAGAGCAGTTTACTCCTAAAACAAATGGCACATTTGTTACTAAATGTTAACACACATATACAAAAAGAAAAAATATATCATTAACTGAAATGGCTCTGGGGTTGCTTGTTAAGTCCCTAATTGTAGAAATTAAAATGAAATCACCAGCATCCATAACACTGTAGCAGCGGGTACAAGTTGGCAGAAAAGACATTTGGAAAGAAGCCATTCAGGAAGTGAGCCATTTTAATATTAATTTGTTTGCATCAGTAATGCAGCTTTGTTGTGCTGCATGTTTAAGCTTTGTAGAATATACTGATTAAACCTGATGACTCACACTTATGTTAGCCTCTGGCTAGTTCAAGTCTAACACTATTGTTGCATTCCAACATTTAGTCTAAAAATGTTTTAATTTTAACATTAAAACTCTCCTGCAAGCCTAGGCTAAGCTAACCCAGCTAACAATGCTCCTCTTTTATAACTTTAATTGGTAGATCTGAATTTTCTGGGTAGCATTTCTGCCACCTACTGGATGCATTAGCCAACAGTAAATATTTGCATATACAGTCATCGTCATTTGTAAAGTGAATTTTAGCCCTTTGCTATTCACACTTTTTCTGCAAGGCTAAATTTGGCTACTGGATATATTTTCACTGTTACAGTCAATGTCAATCACAAGGACACATTTCAGCAATTTAACACTTTTTTCTTGCTAACAAACTTTTTTTGTACCTAAAGTCCTTGAAGCTGTTTTATTTTAAACCCTATTTTTTTTTTACACTGGGACAAGTAATCATCTGTAGTAAAGCTGTTCCTTCACTGTTTGCCAACAGAGGGATATTGCTGAGCAAGCCATTATTTCTAGATATAAAGTACAAGATAATCCTTGAAAAACAATCCTGTATTGATCTCTTCATCTCCCCTATCAGGGAATCAAACCCCTATCTCCCACAGGACAGGTGGAAATCTCAACACAAAGGATGAAATGAAAGTAGTTTGCCGACTTTATTATCTTTTTTTTTTTGATTCAAGGCAAAGGACAAGAGTTGATATAGAAAAGATTTTCTCTGAGAAATGGAAAAAAAAAACAACTTCAGAACAGCAAGTTTTTCTTTTATTTGGTTCAAAGGTTAAAAAAGGTTAGAGGTCAAATATGCCAGTAGGTTCTGAAAGATTCTAGCTGTGTTTTGATCTGGGTCTCGGCTCTTTTCGTTCGCACGGCACCAATTGGAGGATTTCTTCTCCCTGTAGTCACAGCACCAAAATTAAAACGCCAAAAGAGAACAGGTCCAATGAGCAAAATAAAACGACAGAGAAGTATTCAAGACAATCTCGTACATCAGTTATTAATAACCAAGATCGAGAATAACTTCTAATGCATCAGTGGTTTGAATTTTTTTACCTGTCTGTGGAAGTGGTTTTCAACTTCCCAGGTGTGTGTTTAAATGTGGTAGACCAAAGGGGAAGAGAGGTTGGGCCTCTTGTGGCCAATCATATTACCATGGTTGTGCCTGCAGTCACCACTATGTGGCGCTGCTGTTCCATGATTCAGCAGGGTCAGAGACCTTTTGTTGAGCGGGGTGTTACCACAGAGGAAGTGGACGGAGAGTTGAGGTCCAGCAAAACAAAAGGGGGTTATGTGGATCAAAAGGAGTGGACGAAGTCTTCCCATTCTTCCTCTATTGGGAGTAGAGGTGTTTTGGAACAGCTCCCCAGCAATCTGGGGAGTTGGTGAATGTTCGGGGATATGTAAATGTATGTGCTTGGGAAGGCCTTTGTAGTATATACCTGTCTTAGCAGCTTCCTGCTTTCAGAGTCAAACCAAATGTGAAAATCAATGAAATTGAACAGTTTTTTGTCCTTACCTGTAAAATGTGGAGGACACAGACATTTGTGTGTTTTCCTGGTTGGATCGGTGGATCCATTGCTCAAACAGACTCCTTTGTTTTTACAAGGGTTGTCCAAACAAGCATCGAACTTTTCACAAAACCTCCCAGAATAGTTGCGGTGGCACCGACAGTGGTAGGCACCTTCCCAAAGGTCTGTTTGACAAATGCCGTTCCCTGAACAAAGGCGAAGCAGAGGAGAACTCTGACAGAGCTGCATTTTAACAGACACGTTCAGCCTCAAGCCAAGTTTGCAGAGCTGTGTATCTCCCTCATGTAGAGCGATGAAGTAATGATGACCCGGGAAAAGCCACTTTACCCCGACTTGCGCGCTTCCATTTATATTGAAGGGGAAAAGAAATTGATCATTTTCTTGTCCGTCTGTGGAACAGCTGTCAAAGTTCTCTTTTGATACATTGAGGATCCTGATGCCGTATGACTCCAGTGTTCCATCAGCGGTCATCAGCAATTTGTCTCCGAATTGCAGCTGAAGTGGACATATCTGTGGGAAGCTGAGGTGTCTGCTCCATCCGTCTCCCTCCTGGGCACCAAAACAGTCAGACCTGTTTTTACAGATGTTTCCTACAAGAGTCCAGTTCATCTGGACTGTTTGTTTTTTAGGGTTCCATTCAAGTAAAGCTTGTGGGTGGCAACCTAGCTGGCAACTTATTTTGTTGACAGCCACAATGATTACCACAAAGTGAAGCAGTAAAGTTCCCATATTTCACTGTGATTCGATATAAGCAAAAACAATCAGAGGGTCAAGAATCCAACCCGGGTCATCAAGGAAATGTAGGTGACGTCCTGAGGAAGTTCGTAAGATTCTGTCCCCGTTGGGCAATCAGTCCATAGGAATAAAATCTGTAGAAAAAAAAAAACAAACAAACTGTCAAATAAAAACATGCAACTTCAGTTGAGACACCAACCAAGTATTGTGCCAATGCTTTTACTTGGTAGATCTGGGTTGCAGGTAGGCTAGCAGAGCAAGGAGGCTATGTTTTTCTAATTTGCACCGGTGAGGCCTGAGATTTTCTCTGCAAAAATATTTTTGTCTTGTTAACCTTTTTAATTTTTTTCCTGACATTTAGCAACCACCACGCAATTACCTATTTCTTAATGTGAGTTCCAAACTTTTGGTGGATGTTATTATACTTAAACCCAAACCTGTTAAGATTATTCTCCTATTTTCTTTCAATTCCTGTGAGTATATAAGCACTGGGTTCAACTAAACAGGTGCAGGGTTTACACCAAGATAGTCAATTGTGAATACATTGAAAATAGATTATATTTCACAAGATTCAGTTTTAAGACATTTTTGATTGATGGTGCACCATGGGATTTCTCAAATGTAAAGTGTGTGCTCTGGCAGACACTTGTGAAGCACTGCCTTAAATAATGTTATTTGTTTAAACTTTAAGGTTTTTGCCACATTGCCACACTGCAAGTGTTTCTTACTTTACTTTTATGAAGTATACCAAACACTGCATTGTTCTTCAGCTGTCTTAACAGTTACAATTCCCTGAAAGTCCCTGTGGAGACTGTAAAGTATAATTTAATTTGATTTGAGCTGCAACAACTCTAACAGGGCTCCCACGGCCGTGTGGAGAGCTGCTGACCCCCGCGTTTGTCACAGCAGCGTGAGGTTTCTATAAAGAATGACAATGTCAGATTAAATATTCTCTCTTTCTCTTTCTTCCTCCTGCCAGGGCCGACGCTTCAGTGTCAGACAGTGAGATGAGTCAAAGCAGACAGTGTCGTCGCTCTCCCTAAGGCCATTTTCATGCGTGTGCCTAAGATAAAACAACGCGTGGAGAAGTGAAGTCCCGGCAAGTGGAAAAACTCTGCTCGTGTATCAGCTTGGAAAGGCCAATATGAATAACTGCGGGATGATAAGTAATAGAACGTTGTGGATGGAGCACAAATAATGGAGGAGGGACTGATAAAGACAGCCGATATTGTCTACTTGTCATTTGTTCACCCAAAAGACTTTATTTACAGAAGTTAAGGTGGACTATTTGACTATATTGTTTCTAGGAATAAATTGGAAAGCTGTCATCTGATTTTTTTGAAGGAAAGAAAATAATTGAAATACAACATAAGTTGACAGTAAATGTAGAACAGTTTTGTGTATTTTTTTTTTGACAGGGCATTCATTGTTATCTGTAAGTATGAGAATAAAAAACACAAATAGTGCATTGTTTTTAATTAAGTCAAATGATAGTGTGGTTGCATAAATAAAATAAAATAAAATAAACCAGTCTCTTGTAATAACAAACCTGTCAATAGAAAAAAAAAAAAAAAAAAAAAAACCCCAAAGCTCAACAGAACATCCAGCAGTATCTCATACCGTGGTACAAACTTTACTGATACTGGTTTGACATGAAACGATCTAATTAACATCAGGGTCTGTGTAAAGCCGTTTCTAATTAAAAACGCTCAGCTGTATCACACCTGCCCGACACCAAATGGAAACTCACTACAATAAATAACAAAAGTGTGTTAGCGTCAGACGAGTGGAAAAACCCAGCTGGTGTATCAGCTTGGAAAGGCCCATATGAATAACTGCAGTTACATTGACACATTGATTACATTACTAAAACGGTTGTTTTTTTCTTATGTCCATTTCTACATGTACACACATTGCAGGCAATGATTGACCTTTTAAGACGACAGTTAAATGCACGCTTTTGAAAATTGTAATTTTTGTTCAAGATGAGGGGCATAATTTAATCGCAGCCAGGCAGTAGACAGCAACCTTTGATTACAGCCATGTCATACTAATGCCAAGGCTGACGAATGTTTCCGTCTACTGTATGACACCTTTCCCTCCAAACTCAAATGTATACATTTCACCGAGGAAAATGTTCATGGTTTAAACATATAATTTATGTCATATTTCAAAGCATTGAGTCACATGGGTTACAACGTGTTGGAAAAATAAATCAACTTCTCTTAAACCTTTTATTAAATCATGACAAAATAGTCAGTCTGTGCAAAGTGTGATTTAATGAGAACCAAATGAACCTTTTTACTGAGGCCGTCAATGTCTGCTCCGCTCAAATCTCTCAATAATTCTGAGCATGAAGATTTAACAACAGACAGTAACTTTTTTTTTTTTTTTTTACAAGCCCATACACCCACATTGGTGTCTAAATACATATTCCCAAGCCTGTCACTCTAACCGTAACCATTAAATATGAATGAAAATCTTAATAATCACCCAAACTATAATCTGATCCTAATTCCAAGCAGAGATAAGAACCTCAGAAAACCTCACTGTCACAGTCACAGGACCTTAAAATGTGTCCCAACAACACTGGTAAAACTAAATGAGCCCATAAACACAGCTTGTCAGCGTACACACACACTCTCTCACTCACACACACCTAAAGAGGGAGCATCTCAGAACAAACCATGCTGTAAAACCATGTGAACCATTAACGTAGAGAAACACACTGTTAGTGACAGCGCTGTAGGATGTGCTGTTATATCATCTTATTTTATGACAGGGTTACAAACTTCACCCCTGACAAAAAGCAGGTGCACTGAAGTTACTGCCTAGAAATTCCATGTCACTATGACAAATGTGCAATGTCATGGAAAACATCATGTTCCAACGGAATGAGACTAATGCAGTGTGGCTGTTCTGAGGCTTAACAGAAGGGGGGGCTACCCATTGTTAAGCCCCAGTCACACTGGTAAAAATAGTTAAAAAAAAAAAAAAACAACCTTCTGAACAGTTTTTAATTATTAACAAACTGAATAAAAATATTTATTATTTTAAATGGCTCTGGTTCAAATTGTTAAAACAATAAGACTACGAAGCTTCAATGTTTCTTCTCATTTCTGTTACAATTCAGAGACATTTAGACAACATGATGACTTTCCATCTTCAAGGGTAAGTCAAAAAGTCTGCCCTACCTTTTATTTGTTTTTGTTAAGCCTCAAAAAGGAGCAATTTTAAAACAGGAAGGAACAAAATCAAAATGATTCCATTATGTGCCATTATGGCAGGAAACAGGAAGGACCCAAGTGCAGCACGAGGGAGACTCTCTTCAGGTTTACTAACAACATGCAAAAACAAACAACCAAAAAAAAAAAAACTCACTTGAACAGAAACCAGGCATTAACTACAGGGCTTGGAACATTCCCAAACATGATCCTCAAGGCTTGAACCTTTAACAGGCCTTAACACAAACAGACAAGAGAGTGAGGGAGAGAGGTACATATACCCAGGGCACCAGGTGACACGAGTGAAGCTGATCAGACACAGGTGAGTGTGATCACGATGATTAACCCCACACAGCAGACAGCAGGACCAGGGAACAGACAGACGCCACAGACAGACATCACAGACTATGTTAGGCTTGTTTTTGTAGTTCTTAAGAACAAAGAACACAATATGATTCCTTAAACATAACTAAGAAGCCAGTTGTGGTCTGGTGTGAAAGACATTCAAAGATGTTTTCTGATAGAAAAAGTGTTTTCCATCTTTAATGACATAGCTTAGTTATTTATATTATTTTTTTGTACTGTCTTAGATCTTCTTGACTTATACTTTTGTGTTTTGACAAATCATTGCAGCTAAATTTAAGCAGTAATTTCACACTTGCAGAGTGAGACAAATGTCTACGTCAATAATTATTTCATACGTCTTCCAAACACTTGTGAAAGACCTGGATTTAAGCAGAGAACTATGACTAATACAGCCTGTAGAAATTGAACACTAAACGTGACTATATAACTACAATGTAATATTCTCACAAGGCCTTAGTCATCACACATGCTGTACATCCTGTCGTTAAGTTACAGCCAAGCGATGGCTGGGATGAAGACTATCTTATATTACCATCCATGTGACAGAACTCTGGCGAGCGGCATAAGAACCGTGTCTAATAGATGGATTTTAAAGGGAACACTCTGGCCAGAGGGGAGAAAAGGACAATGTTAAACCCTTACACACACACACACACCCACACTTGATATCACACAGAAATTCTGCAAAACCGCTGCAAGCCTGCAAATTTTTATGGCCCACAAAAATGCAGTTTTAGTCCACTTCAAAGTAAGTCCAAATGATAGATCTTACCCGTGCGGTTATGCCAATCTATACCGTCGACCTCTATGTTAAATAAGCCGCGAGGTTAGCTAGGATATCAAGTTAGCAACATATTGATTATTTGGGATTGACCTGCAGGCAGTACACAGAAATAGTTCAAGTAATAAGGGCCATAAGGTCACAGGCAAGGTCATGTATGTGGCACCATGTGTTTGTCTCCCTCGGTCCCCTGGTTTGATTAATGCTTTGTTTAACCAACGATTTAAAATGCCCATCACGCAGGTGTGCAGAGGGTAATGGATCAAAGGGACAGCTGTGTAAATCCTTGGTTGACTGATGACTGGAGACACTAAGAGGACACAACAAATTATCACATCAAAAGTGTGAGCCCACACTTCCCTCGTCAACTGTCTGGACCATGAAATACTACACGGGCTGACACGTCTGGCTGGTTAGCCAGTAGAGGGACAACAGGAAGAAGAAAATCATCTTTATATGGAAAATATATTTTCTCACTTTTTAAAAACATCAGTAATTAAATCATATTTAGACTTTTATTTTATTGATTTTTTATCAATTATTTAAATTATTTTACAGTTTTAGTTCACTCTTTACTTTGGTAGTATCTAGCTAATAGGATCTGACTCAAACGTGTACACTGAGAATATACATGTTGTATCTCATACTGCTATAATGTGCTAACAAACACTCTTACAGCTTTTTATTGACTGGTTGAAGGAACCTAGTGACATCACTGACAGCTCAGAGTCATTGCTTTTCTATGGAGCCGTACACCTCCATAAAAAACGTTGTAAAAGTCTTTATTTCTTACTTAACACATTTGCAAATTAAATAGGACAACTACTGAAGTGACTCTGCAGCTGAATGCAAGTTGGTCTGAGATTGACTGCCAAGCTGTACGTAGCTGGCAGTGATGTCATCGTACAAATCTGCAGGGTAAACAGTACAAGATTATGCCCATCTATTAGGGCTGTATTTACGGTTTGTTTGAGTCACGGCCGACTGGAGTGATGGAAAAAGTAAAATCAATTAATGCTGTGTTTGAAAACTGCTGACTAATATTAGGGTGGAAAGAATAAAGCAAATTAGGTTTGATTTTTAGGACATGATATACAAATATATATATATATATAAAAAACTTTAACACCTGGTAGGTGTCGTGACACTGGTGTCTCACAGCTGACTCACGTTTGTTTTCAAAAATTAGTTTTTAGTACAGATATATTTTTTTGCACAAATAGGACCTTTCTGAAGCCCATACACCTCAGTCACTCTTTAATAGTTTAACTAATTACACCTCCACGGCTGTTATTCACATCTCGCCTTTAGGTGAAACCAACAACCTGAAAGTGGGTCAGGGGGCGAACAACCAGCATTGTTTAACATAACGACTCTCCAGACACTTAATCAGCCCAGAGAAAAACCTTCACAGACAATTAAACCTGCGGTTTTTTTTTTTATTCAAATTTGCCACCGTCTTGCCCAGATGTACCTGCACCCCCATAAAAATAAAAATGAGCCCCCGAAGGGTTTTTTCACATTACAAAGTGTGCTAAGTGTGGTTTAAATGTTAACTAGGCCAGAAATTGCCAACTTGCCATCTGATCAGGAAAATCACTTTGGATTTTTTTTATGGCAAGTGTAGCTCATTAGTTCATCATCTGCATCACACAGACAGAGATGATAATATGGGATAGTGAGTGAGTGAGACACAATTGCTTGTTATGGGATAATGACACTTATACTAGAACAAGGACGCACACGTGTAATCTCCAGACAAACACTGAGATAAACATTACCCGCTCTCTCAGAGTGTGTGCTAATTTCTCATCAGGATTTGCTTTATTGCCTCCATTGATCTGATTTTGGAACTTTTCAAAACTTCACAGCTGCAGAAAACAGGTGAAGGAAACCGCTGCACAAAAAGTTTAACTGCATAAAAATGAAGGACTTGTGATTACATTGTAAAACAGACTGACCACCCACTCCAAAAAAATCAACAATCTTTAGGAAAAATATTATTTAAAAAAATATATATAATCAGTATGAATTCAGGTTGTTGAATACATAGTAGCAAGAGTATTTTATGTGTGTACTCAGATATGCAATGACCTGAAAACACTGCCGTTATGTGTGTTACAGCTCTGTCAGAAATACAGCAGGGTGACATGCAGTACTGTATGTAGGTGAGTTCAACCCAAACCACAGTAAACACACCAAGGAGTAAAATAACTACAGCCAGTTTTCTGATTTACATCACATGAGAGAATATATCCATCAAACAAAGGATAAAATGAATACAAATACAATTCAAAGATAATGAAAAAGCTAATTAAAACTTCAATCAGCTGAAAAGAAAGGAAGCAGAGTAAACACTGGCTCCTGCTTTCCAGTAGTCAAGTCAATAGTATTAGGAGTGTCTCTGCCTGTCCTCAACAAGCTCATGAAGACCCAGCTCTTCAGAGAGCACCTCCAGTCCTAGTACTTTCCTGTACGTCCCTGTCACCATGCTCTCCTCTGTCTCCTCCTGTATTTGTCTCCACAGGAAGTGGAGAGAAGTGGAAATACCTCTTAAACTTCTTCTCTAATAAAAGTGTCTGCTAAATGTAAATGTAATATATTTGTTAGCAAGAAAATTAATTAAAAAAAACACACCAGTGAACACATTGTCAATTCCTTGGAGACAAATTACATTTGTACTATTTCTTTACAAAGTTTACTATGGAAGTCAGGGTTGGGTAGTGATATGGTACCTTTTTAATAAAATGTCTTTAACACATTAGAGACTGGCTTTCCTAAACCTCACACATCTTAAAGATGTAAAAAAATACTCCAAACGTAATACTTTTGGGAAATATCTCCGGTGCTCCAACTGTGTTTGGTTCAGCTACATTTGACTTCCCGCCCATGTGACATTGTTAATTGCTTCCCAAAAAGCTCCTCTCCATGATTCTAAAACTCTGTGATCTCCGGTGGGGTCTTTTAGAGTTTCTCAAGAGAGTAAATCTTCTCAGCCAGTCTTTGCTCTGGTGCATTAATGCAGGAAGAGTTGATTTCACTTCCTCTTCTGGACAGAGTATCATTAGTGCAAGCTAGCTTTCCAGGCTAAATGGAAAGAGGAGGCTAAGGGGAAATCTATAGATATTTAAAATTTCAGACTACAACGTCTGTTGGATAAATTATTTTGCCTAGAAGTTGTCACACTAACCATTATTTCTGTCGTCATTCACTATTACGAGGCTGAGGTTTTGTTGAGGATGTGTTGCTTTAAATAATATGAGATGAGCAGTAGTTTAGAAACCATCATCATCTGTTTAATGTCTGGTCCCTAACAAAACACGAAGCTACTAAATGAAAGAAAATACAAAGAAATCCTGCAGCTCTGCTTGTAAAATGTTACTGTGTGTTCGTCGTTTAGCGTTCTAACATCAGCGGGCTACCAGTGAAACGACCACTGAGCCACTAGAGAGCTGATTAGGCAAACATCAGAAGGCTGCCTGCCACAGCCGCTGTCAGAGTGATCACTCGTCCTCCCTGGGTGGCTATCTGGATCATCACTAATCAGTTAGAACACTGACGAGCATCCTACATCTACCACACTGAAAACCAAAACCTCACATCAAATTCCTTGCTTCAAGTGAAGCAATTTATGGCAATGATGAAACTGATTTTATTTAAATTTTAGGAAACTGTAAAAAATATTAACAGAACAATAAACATGGATATTCCAAGAAACTCGTCTCTTGTGTTCTGGTCCACAGAGAAAATGTCTGGCAGGATAAAAACAAAATACAGTTTTAGTCAGAAATTTAAACCAGTGGTAAATTACTGACTGTTGTCATGGTATCATATGGTGGACAGGGTGACTATAGAGCAAAGCTACACCTTTCCATCAGGCTGTGCACCTCCGTTAAGTGCAAACAAATTTCGAATCATTTTATAGAGATAAAGTTTTTTGCAAAAACCCAATTACAAAGTTTTGTTCACCAAGAAAAAAATAAAATAATTTACTATTTAATTCTCTTGCCTCTTGTCTTGCCAATGTTTTCTTTCTAGGTTTTTGTGCTCTATGCATTGTTTTGCTGCCATCTAATGGGCATTATTACTCTGTGAACAAAAGTATTTTTTTCTCAAGGATGTATTTTAGCTTCTTCCATTTAATAAAAAGAAATATAACATACATTTTGACTGCTTCGATGGTTCATTTTAACCTGAAACACATTTCTAGGCTCAACAGACCTGACAAAAGGCTGGTATGATTTTCTCATATTGTTGAAAAAAAAATCGTTCATCTGTCACTGGCTTCATGTCAGAGTGAATAGTGTTTCCTATTTATTTGGATTTTCTCTTGCTTCTGGGAATTCAAGTGTTGGGCTGCAATTTTCAGCTACACGGAGCCTTAAGAG